ATGTACAGTCTCACTGGAAACTGCAGTGAGATGGTAAGGGCAAAGATAAGGAGTAAGTTTTAAATAGATACTCAGACACTGATTTACTGAACCTGCAAGATTTAATGGTGCAAATGTCCTGTAGTACTATATAAAACTAGAACTTACTGGTTTTGTGACATGAAAAGAAAAATAAACAGATAGGAAAGAACATAGTTTGGGATTTAGTGTTGGTATTTGGGCAAGGAAAGGTGATGAGACAGGTTGTTAAAATAATGAAACCAGGATTATTTTACTATTTTGTGATGTGAAGTTTTAAGCTTTTGACTGTAAATTGCTACATTTTGGTGCCAAATAAAGCTGTTTGTTTTATTTGCAGAATTAGTCAGGTTAAATTTTCTGCCAGTAATTATTTTATTAAAACCACAACTGCAACACATCAGAAAAGGGGGAGAGGTAGGAACAAAGAATAAGAGAAAATTAAAAAGTAAATTTTAAATAGAAAGTACCAGCTAATCCATATATAAGCTAATTGTAGACTTACAAAGTCTAAACACATTAGAACTAATTAAGCCAACTAGACTCTGTCTTCCAAAATGTATAATTACGTTGCATTACAAGTAGATAATTTAATTGCTAAATCATTATTCAAGTGTTTTCAAAATGAATTAGAACAAAGTATTGTCTGCCAAGTTTATGTAACCTTCAATTCCTCTCATTCATCATGCATTTATCTCTACTGAAGAACTTGCTTTTTATCCCCACAAATTCATCCACACCATGTGTTACTAGACTATGTCATAGCATTAAATAAATCTGTGTGCCAAAAAAAGAGTCAGGCTGTGTGATTAGATTTGGTGGATTCAGTGTGGAATCTCACACAGGAGAAGGTTGAGTGGAAATTCACCATCATCAACCTTAATACATTTATGCTGCTATTCACTTGTGCAAATTATTATCTTTGTTTCCTTTTAGAGCTCAGTAAGTTTCCTGCAAATATTTTTTTCAAATTCATCTGTCAGCCTCAGCTTTTTTAGCCAAACAGTAATGTTTTGATAAACTGCAAGCACTCAGTTTCTCATTTTGCTTTTTATAAATAACCCAAAAGATGTTACCACTGAAAATTATTCTTCCATTATTGTTGGTCAGTTTATCTTGGCAGTTTAACATTGTGACACTGGATTAAGCTTCTTTTACATTTCACATCTTGTATGTTGTCTCTGCCTTTCTTTAAGCCTGTCAGTTTAAATGTCAGGCAGTTAATTAGATGAATATCAGTATAGTATAACATCAATGTCTTTTACATGAAATATTTAATCTGTGTGTTTAAATATGTTTTTTGGCTAATCTGTGTGCTCTCATTTTTATTATTAGCTTTATTCTAGGTGAGTTATTCAGAAAATGTGCAGGAGAAGCTAGAGATTCTTCTCTGAACTATTAGATTATCAAAAAATATAATATGGAGATTTCTGTATTTGTTCTTTGTAGAAACTTCCATGAGTTTTAATAGATTATTTAGAGTTCTTGAAGGTTTTCTTTTTACTCAAGGCCATCATGTTGTGAGTAGCTGGGGCCTTGAAAATAGAAAGCCTTTATTGATATAGGGCATTGTGTAATTTCTAGAGGCATGCAAATTAATAAGGATTTTGATGCAGATTTTAAGAGTCTTGCTACAATTTCAAGAACCGTTGTCTGTATTTCTTGAAAAAGAGATTAAATGTAGAGGATCACATCTATTTGTCTATCCATCCTTCTCACCAATAATTAGCTGTTGAAGCCATCAGTCAACTTCAACCAAATTTGTCATAAATGATAGTTTAAAGGATGCTATGTTCCCACAAAGATGATAAAATCAGGTGATGCCACAGAACACAGTAAAAGCTCACCCCCGTATTACATGGCCTAATATTCACCACTTTCATGAGAGAATTGTGATTGACCCTGACCTCTGAGAACACTTCAGTAGAGAATCTGGTGTCAAGGCACAGCCCTGTAAGAAATGAGGCTTTTCAGTCCTGTAGAGGCATTTTGAAGTCACTTGTTTGAAGACTTTAAATTACCAGGAAAATAAAAATCTGTGGGCCAAGATTTCCAGCTCTGCCCTTATTTATGAATGAGAACAGAAATGTGCTTTGCAAAGTGCTACAAAATCATGTGCAAGACTATACAGAGGCAGAAGGAATAAAGTGATTTAAAAAAAATTTGCTTTTGAACCAAATAGCTTTTCTTATGCTTTGGTGGAAGACCCATATGAGCTTCTTAATAGACATCTGTCATTTTGGACAAATATAAGCTATATTTTTTTTTCTTAAATTTTTGAAGTCACATTCTGCTAGTTTTGTGCCCAGAAAGCATCTGGACACTGATGTTGAATTACTGACTCTAGCACTTACATGCCAGCTTTGGACTTTGTCCTGAATCAAGTCAGTCTTCTCCAGATGGCTGAAGCATCAACAGAAATACTCCAAGAAATGTTGTTCTACAAGTACCTATATTTTCTTTAAAAAATATGTGCTGGACTAGTGTGTCTGGTCTTTGAAATGAATTCTAGTAGCAGTGAAAAGAAAACACTGTGCTTCTAGAGTGCACATGTATGTGCAAGGGCCTATTTGTGTCTAAAGGCTCTAAAATGCTCGTGCCACGGGAACACCAGCTGAGTCTCCATGGGTCTCCCCTGGTGCCCGCAGTTCCTGCTCCTGCACAGGAGTTCTCCTGAGCGAGGGCAGAGGCACACTTGTCCCAGCAGTGAAAGCTGCACGTTGTTGACAGGATTATTAAAATATTAGCTCTGTCTCTTGGCTTCTTCCTCTGTGGGCCTCGAAGGTCACAAAAGAAGGTAAGAAACACCAAGTGGATTTCCCTTCTTCCTGCATAGTGTTGCCACATCACTGCGAAAGTTTAGATGAACTTTGAGAGAAAACACTGAATACAGGATCTGATCTCTGTGCTAAGTGCTCCTTACTGCAGAGCTTAGTGACCCACTGTTTTAATTGGCCTCTGTGTTGGCTTAAATGTGCTGTCAGGTTTGTCTTCAGCATACGTTTTCATCTTAGCATGTAATTTAAGCATACAGTTTAGTCACTTTATATTCTTATTTATCCTTTAATGTTATAGATTTTTGTAAGTCTTTGTAAATGCTCCAATTTCTTACCCGGAAAAAGCCTCAACCTTTTTTTTTTTTGAGATTTGAAAAATCAGTGGATGCATAATCCACTCACCTCTCTTGAGTGGAAAGTTTCAGTCTGGTAAATTATCTTTATTATTCTGTAGGTTAAGAGCTCCATGAATAATGTGATTTGTATTCTGAGTTTTCATAAACAACTAATATAATTTATAGCTGGAACTCAGTGGATAATCCTCTGAGAAATTAGAGATTAAACAAGGATGTATGTTTTGTGGTGCTAAAAAGACAGACTTAATATTTTTTACATTTGTTAAGGTATTGAATCTCCAAATAATTTCCACTTAAGAACATTGATACACGTAACTCTTTAAAGGGACGCAGAAATGTTCAGCCTTATTTGTGTATCTGTCCATGTCCATGCTGTCTCTTGCCCTTGAAAAATAATCTTCCAAGTACTGACCTAAAAGATCTAAGGTCTTCTGTTTCCATAAAATGCAAACATTGTCAGAATGGAGCAGGACTTAGGCAAGGAGTGGGTCCCAGCATGTTTCAGTTGTGACTGTTCTCTCACTGCCCTGGACTCCTTCAACAGGCTGCATGCATAAATGAGCTTGCCTGGGTCAGTTAAGGCAGTCTCTACTTTGGCATATTTCCTAGGCTTCTAGAAGCTCCAAGCAATTCAGGCCCTTTAATATAGTTCAGGGGTAAGAGTTGAATGAGGTTCTTGCTTTTGGAGCCCTGCCCTTCAGGGGGCTTGTCTAACAGAGGCAATTAACACTTCCTATGCACATTGCCAATATTAAATTGTTGGACCAAGAACAGTCATCATAAACAATTGTACAGAGATGCCTACATTTTGTACAAAAGGATGTATGTAAATGTAATATTTTTGTTCTCTGGGACAGAGAGGTTGCCAGTGGTCAGGTCTCAGCAGTATCTTGCAGATGGACTTGGGTGCACTGAAAGCTTTGTGATTTGGATTCTTGGAGTGTCAGAAGCTCACAGCTAAAGCACAGGTAGAAATGTAAGCAAAAGTCCCAATGAGGACATGTTAGCTCTTGATGGAAGACCTAGAATGATTAGATTCACAGATGAGACTACATAAATGCCAGAGGGAAATGTTCTGGATTTAAAAGGGTATTTGGATCCCACCACTAAATTATGTGCTTTATTAAGAATTATGTGTAGGGGCCAAGACTGGGGGATGCAAAACCAGGAGCTGTGTGGAATACACTTTGATGAATTGGTGTTGACCATAAACATAGCTAAAACTGTATGTTCATACATAACATTATAAATATCAACTATGTTGGTATAGTTCATCTACTAAAATGCAAAAAAAGAACTATGAAGCAAACATGTAATTGTTAAAACTTTTGCTCCCTGTGAGGATTTACTGTGCATGTTCCTAGAATAAATTGTTTTGATTTTGATAGTCAGTGGGTGTTCTCCCTGAAATAAATGACTTGGAAGTATAATTAGTGTGAAGCACAGCAAAAGCAACATTTTAACTATTGCTTCTGAACATAGCCAAGTACACAGAGGATGAAGTTCACTTGATCATGTGTGCTGTGGATTAATCCGCTTTGCTTCTTTTTATTTTGGAAGCTTTTTGCCAAATCAAATGGAAAATGTACTTTCTACTTCTAATACTGGTAGCTGCTTCTATTTGGAATAATACATTGTTTCAGCAATGCATGAGGTGTGGGTAGAGCAAAGTGAAGGTTATTTAGGTCAGTCTTTGATAACTGCATGTCATGTTAGTAAGTCATCAACACTTTCTTTTGATAGGGAGATATATATATATAAATGGAAAATTGCAAATGGATTCTTCTTTCATTAAATACTTTATATTTCCTTTGCTGACCACAAAGAGCAGAACAGAAGCATCCTGAAGCTTTCTCCAACTCTTCACTCATGGAGGACAGAGCATAGTGGTAGATGAAGGTAATGTTAAAAACTTTATATTACTATCTAGGGAAAAAGAATTTCGACATGTAGTAATAAAGGACATGCTGACAACATTTCACACCTCCATAAGCATTGTTAGGAGCCACATGTGTTTTCTTGGTTCTCTTAACTGTATCTTTGCTGCCACTCAGAGCAAATTCCAAAGCACCAGTGTCTCTTTTGCAGTTTCTATTAAATAAGACTTGAAATTAAAACAGAACTAGTAAAAGGACTCTGCAGAACCATCCTGTACATACATGTGCCACTGCATGAGTTGATGGTCTATGTTGCACCGTACAAATTGCCAACTCTTAAGTGGTCATCCACCAAGCCTCTGTCATCCATGTGTGAGCCTTTTATTTGTAGATATTTTGCTTTGCTTTATGTTATCATTTCTTCTGTGATTGTCTTAAATTTTTTTAAGGACATTTTGTGGGAACATACTGACAAATCCTTGTCATTTTCACTTCAAGCTCCAAAACAAAACTTTCTGGCTGAAATAGGTTTAGAAATAAGCTGTAAATTTTTGTCATGCTTTTGTTTTGGTACCTAGACATAGAGATTAATTACCAGTTTGATTATAGGATTTAAAGAAAATCTTTATTGGCTGCCTCATCTACAGGCAGTCACTTTGCTGCAGAGATCCATGGCCTGCAAAAAGGCCACAGCAGAAGGTAGGATGTACAGAGACTGCTGGAGCTTCCTCCAAAATGCTGTCCTATGGCCCTTGAATAAGCTGAAATTAGAGATTTGCAGCTGCTATGGACTGGTGCTGTGAGAAGGAGCTCTGGCAGCACAAGAATGGCCTTCAGCATTGCACATCATTCAGTGCCTTGAGCTGGGCAGCGTGACACGTTCCAGGTAACTGCCACAGTGGGAAAATCATTCCAGCTTCCCTCTTCTCTGTGAAGTAAAATTTTAATGCTGGATGCTGATGTGGGGGTGTCTGGCCTGTGGGCGGAGGCAGGACAGCCACCCACTGCAGAGGGGAAGGTGACTGGGCTTGCTTGGCCAAAGAGCCTGGGCATGAAGACAGGAGCTCAGCCCAGTGTGCTCCAGGTTACCTGGGTGCTCAGTCTGGAAACTCTGTGTTCTGCAGACAATATTTGCAAGGACTGGCTCCTGCAGCTGTGAAGGTTGGATGGGGGGTTCAGCAGGAGAATGAGCTGTGGTGCCCCTCAGTGCAGGGCAGCTCCTCGCCCGCCCGAGGGCTGCCCAAGGCTTCTGCTGAAGCTCTTCCTGCCTGGCACAGGGGAGCAGCTCGGGGCTCTCTTCACTTCTGCTGTCTTTGTGCACTTCAGCTCTCACTGGAGAGTGCAGCACAGCGGTGACATTTGAAAAACCACCAAAGCATAAGATCACTATTCAGTGCCACACACCAGCAAAGCCAGTTAACTTGAACAGGAAGTGGGGTTTAATGTGCATTTGGGGATTACAAGGTAGTGGAGGTGGGAGAAATGGGTACTTACAGTTCCCATCTGGTCTGCTCATGCTAAAAATATCCGAATTTCTCAGTGAGATGCTAGTGTTTCACTAAGCTTTGGTTATCTAATACCTAATAATCAATATATAACATCAGCAGATGTGGATACATAGATGTGTATTTTCACTCCAGAAACACTTTTAATTAGAAATTGAATTCTACTAGACTACACTATTTACATAAATACAGCTCTAAATACTCTTGTGTGTTAAATCTGAGAGAAGGACACTGTCAAGCACTGGGTAAGCCTCTGGACTCCTTTCTGCCTGAGAGATTATAGAAGCACATAAATAAAACATCAGTGTAGAATACACATTGGACAGAGTGCTGCTGACTACACCTATGCACTATAGAGCCAAAGCTCTTTTTCTTGTTCATATTGTTACCAGTAAATGGAATTGCTTTCATTTTGACGTATATATTCCTAAAATGAAACTGTTTGGATTGAATTTACTGTGATGGAGAAACAAATTTATCTGATCCTATAAAGTTTCCCTTAGATAATTTGGGCAAAATCACTGTGACTTGAGGTTTATTGTCTTACACTGAGGCTTTTTCTTGCAAAAGTCAAAGTACAGTGAACCAGGCAAGCTGTGTCTACACTATTTATAGCTACTCTCTTTCCAAAATATAAATTTTCCTTTCAGTATGATAGTACATGAGTGATAGGACTTTTTTTGCAGACTTGGGTGGGCCAAGCTTGGGCTTCCTGATCCTAACAAGGTATTTCCATATCTTCTATTTTAACACAGTCATTCTACTGAAGTCAGTGAAACTAGTCTGTGCAGGTTTATCAAGGCATAAATTGCAAATACGAGTTGGAACTATTGCTAATTGAGGAGATAGGCAGTAAGTGAATGAAAGAAGAAAATTATTTCAACCATGGGAAAAAGTTTTATATTCGAAATGTCTATAGCTTAGGGGTTCATAGGTTTTGCTTTTATTTTTAGTATAAAATTTCCAGCTAGTGCCACCTTGGCAAACCCTAGAAGTTTCAAAATGTTAATTGTGAATTAGAAAGAGTATTTGTGGTGAGGTTTTTTGTTGTTGTTGTTGTTTGGTCAGGTTTGTTTATTTTTATCCTTTCCAGAATGCACAGTGTTTCCTTCTAGAAAGTTGTTGGACAGGCTGTAGAAGGGAAGATCCTACCTATAGATGCCAGATGGGGTCTAGGAGTGTTTGAAAAATACAGCTGTAAATGTTCATGTGTGTTAGATCTTTGAGAAAGACACTGTCAAGCACTGATTAAGCCTCTGTACTCCTTTCTGCCTGAGAATGAATAGAGGCACATGAATAGAAAGAACATCAGTGTAGGAAACGTGGACACAGTGCCGCTGCTTGGTATGGACTCGGTGGGGGGCTGTCTAGCAGGGACCTGTTCAGTAAACTAAATAAATAATAACACTAGATTAATTATCTAGTATTTTCATAAGTAAAAACATTCTACTAATGTATCTTAACATTCTCTGAGCGCTCTTGAGGTGCATCTGCTGTGTCTGCCTGCTACTGGAGTCTCCTTGGGGCATGTTAGGGCTGCACACACAGTTGTACACAATCCCATGTAGCTGATTAGGTGTCTGTGGGCTCATGCAAAACTGAGATGATCTGCTATTTATATTTTGGCTTTTTTTTTCTTCCCATGTAGTAATTCAGATATTTATGTCAATATATGTGATCACAAAATGACCTATATATACTCTATGTATAATTTCAAGGTTATTTGGCCAGTATTGCGGAGCAATTTCATCTTAAACTTGAATAAACATACCAGTAGGATACATTTTTCTGCAGTCTTTATGGAAGTATGTTTTACAGCTGAAGTTCTTGATTCAAATGGATAATTTGAAAATCCAAGGTGTGGAGCAGGAGCATAAGGCAGGTGTCCTATTTGTTTAAACAGAGCATGCAGTCCCCAACAGCTTCTCTGTTCTATCTGCCAGGCAACATCTCAGACAATTAGCCTGGGGTTCTGAAATGTCACTGTGTTTGGCAACTGTTTGCCTTTAATGACTTAATCCACTTAACATCTTTATAACAACAAATAGCCATCCTGGTATTTTAATTAGATATAATGGAAAATGCTCCTTTTTAATTTCTGGTTATATTTGAAATCCAGCCTGACAAATATAAAAATAAAATTAAGTATCTGAAACTGGGGAAATTCTGATTCTTTGTATTAAGATTTTCAAATGCAATAGAAAATAGAGAGCTTTTTTAATTAAAGAAAATATAGAATAAGATAATTATCAAAAAGGGACAACAATCCACTAAATCTTACTGAACCTACCTGCAAAGCTCTTGTGGTGTTTGTATGTTGCCTCTACCTGAAAGTCTTTCAGCTAATTAAAATTAATTAAAATTTAGGAAAAGTGCCTTTTGCCAATAGAAAGTGCCATCCAGGTACAGTCACATGCAGCTTTGTAACTATTTTCCCCCTCAAAGTATAGTTAATAGGTAAAAACATGAACATTTCTTCATTCAGAAATACCCGGAGGGAAACAATGAAAGGTGGAAAATGTCTGTTCATTATTGTCTCAAAGAACAGTCCCACAATCCCCAGGGAGGCAAATCAGGTTTTAGGGAGCAAAACATCCATTTTATAGATGAAGATTATGTTATTTGAAGCAACAGAGCTTGCCAGCAGTACAGTGGGTTTAAGTGCAGTGGTGTCGCAGGCTCATCTGGTCCCAGGCAAGGCCACCTACTGGCAGAACTGCATTCAAACTGGGAAATTTCACTAATTCAGCAGCATCAGTGCATATTGTGGAAAAGGTCTAAAAGTGTTGGACAATGTCAGGTAGAATGGACAAAGGTCTAAATGTCTTGAATGTGGTCATGCAGGATGGCCAAAGGTCTCAGTGTGTGGAGTGCTGTTATGTAGAGCTGGTCTCAGATGGCCAGCAAGGTTCTTCTATCAGGATGCCTGACAAGGGCTTCAATATCTGCTGTGTATAAATACAATATCTGCTGTGTATAAATATTTTGTGAAACCAAATTCACAAAGATGGGGATGTGGGTTCAATAACAAAGTGGAAAAAAATAAAAGTGAATAGAGACCTTACCTGCTGACAATTACTCAGGTGTGAATTTCAGGAGAGGAGATGCCCAAGCAGCCTGTTGGTCCTTTTGAAGTATAGTCTCAGCTTCTGATAACTAATTGTCTTGCTTGGATACTTGTTTTCTCACCAAAAACAGAATATGGATTTCAAAAGATAGAGCTTGCCTTATGTCTCATCAGGAGAGGACAGCCTTCCTCTGTCTTGAGCAACCACCAAGAGGCTTTCACAAACAGGAGCAGAGCAGTGTGTGTGGACATGTTCTGGCACTGTTTCATCAGTCTGAATAGGTTTGCCTTGCCCATAAAAAAAGGTTGAAGCAATGATTAACGTGTTGGGTTTTACTTCTGTGACTATTTATTTTCAAATAACATGGAAGTATTGATGGAATCCTGCAGCATCAGCTGTTCCATTATTGCTGCAAGTCTGCTGCTGACATTGGAACTGGTTTTATGTTATGGTCTTTATCTTTAGAAACGGTCATTGTAACGAAGTCCCAGATGAACATCTGGCCCTCCTCAATCAAAAAATGAGGCACGATCTCAAGGAATTAGCCCAGTGTCTAAGTGCATGCCTGAGAGAGTGGGGACTATGTGCAAAGGACTTTTGGGGGAGGGCTGGGAAATAGAGTAATAAGTAGAAGCAATTTGTATGTGTGCAGTTCCTGAGAGTAAAATCTTTGATGTTATTGTTTGAGCAATTTCCTTATTCCTCTGCAAGTCTGGGAATAAATGTTTATTAGGGAATTTTCCTCCAGTATCCCTTTGTATTCATTACTCTGGTTGGCAGAACAACCAGCCTGCATTTATTTACATCCTGACTCTTTAAACATGTTGTTAGCTGTTACGTGCCTCTTTAAGTTAGGGATCAGAGGCTTAGCTGTAAGTATGAGGAAGGCTCAGGATAAAGCAGCGTATACAGATTTAACCCGAGGTCAAAGCTCCGTGAGAGCGACTTTGCCGTGGGCTTTGTTATTCATTCAGACCTTCTCCTGCCCTCTGCTGGCAGTTCCCTGTTATCCCGTACACTGTTCCCGGGATAGTTACCTGTGCCAGCTCGCTGCTTGCAGTCTGCTTTGCCAAACGGAATGCTTGTCATTAGTGAAATACCTTGCCACAGGTAACTGCTGTGCCCACTGCATTTTTAATGTTATATGAAGATGCATGAAGTACGGTCGTCTTGGACTTTGAAAATCATCTCAATGTACAAGCTTTTACCCAGGGATCGGTTATTCTGTCCTTCAGAACTGTATTTATGTTCTGAAGTAAAGTTTCTGATTTTTGGCAAGCATGCTGATTTGCAAAGCCAAGTTCTTGAGTTAAGAAATGCCAGCATTGAGGATGCCTGTGCTATTTTAATGCTGCTCTTGCCATCTTGTGTTTGATGCATGGATGTATTAGAATACAGTTTTCCTCCACTGCTTTTTTGGTGGGCTGTTTTATTTTCATGTTGGTGTATTACATCTGTCGTGAACAGTAGTTTAATGTATTGGTAGTTTCACCTGTGATGTAGCCAAGTGTGGAGTGCTAGTCTCCAAAAAGCCTTCAGGTACAGTTTTGTCTACTTTTCAGTTTCAGAAAGAAATAAGCAAGAAGCACTAATAACTTTGAATTTGGTTCAACTCTTATGCACTGAATGAATAAGCAAAGGGATCTAAAAGGAAAAAATGTAATATATATGTAAGAACAGGCAAAATAAAGATTGTACAGACTGTTGCAATTTGGATGCTTTCTCATTTCTTAAATATGTGACATTACAGCCTTGATAATCTTTTAGTATTTTCTGAATTGGGTTGCAATATTCAAATGCTTGAGCAAGCCAGCCTGAAAAATTGTGCATCAGCTTTGGATAGCAATGGGGTTGTGAGCAAGGCTTTTAGATCCACTTTTACCAGGTGTTTGTGAAGCAATCAAAGTAGAGATGAGTTAGTTATAATTTTATTTATAGGCATAATGGGATGCATTTTTGCTGGCAGTTTTATGAGATAGTTGCTGTAAGCCAGAAGAGTGATGAGAATCAGTGCAGGATTTTGTGAACATAGTTCATGGACACAAACTGTCTTGCTGTTCCTCTCCATCCCTCCATTTATCCCCATTCCAGTTTCTGTACTTTAGGTTCCACCTCTCCACCTGAGTTACATCCTTTGCCACAGAAGACCTTAATTTGTGCCTCTGCTTGTTTCTTTCCCTTTCTCCAGCCTCCTTGTTCCCAAGCTCAGTCTTCCATTGTTAGGCTCTTGATCCATTAGAATTTCATGTCCCTCTGCTGCTTCTAGCCTGAGTTGTAGTTTTCATGTTTGTTCAACTTTAAGACCACTGAAAAACTTTCCATTGGAGCTGTAAAATACCTGTGCTGATTCACCTTCTTGGCTACCTATTGCAGGCCCCTTCAAATCAGTTACAAACCTTTGCCATGGTTGCTTTACTGAGCTGCCACCTCTTGTCTCCTTCTTCCTTCTCAAATCTGAAAATAAATGTCAGCCAAGTGAGCAAACAAGTGGACTAGAATGGAAGTAGGATGAGTCTTTGGCAATAAATAAATAAATATGTATTTGACCCACAAATTTAGTTGTAATTAAGCAGCTGGGAGCTATAATCACCTTTTTCCAGGGGCCTGGCTGCCTTCAGGTAGTAGCAGTCTGTGTGTGCTGAGAAGGATTAGAGATGGTCTTCAAAGGTGCTGCTTGGGGAAAAAGCAAGCTGTTACTGTGATGGGGACAGCTGAGACCCTGCCTTTGTCACCAGGGGCCACTGAGGCTGGCTTTCAGCCTTCCTACAGAACTGTGCATTTTAGAGAAAGGTACTTTCTATGCAAGACCCTTGCTCCCACAGACAGGATGCCTTTGGAAAGGAACCTGCAAGTGTGACTTTTCAGGAAGGTAGTTGAGGTTACAGTCTATGTAATTTTTCCATTCATATTTATCTGATAAAATGAGCAAGTGCAGTTCTCATAGCAAAAGGAAGGGGACTTAATTAGAATTCAGTAACTCAGTAGGGAGCCCAGATAATGACTGCAAATGATGTAAACTGTGCTGTGAGACACCATGCCTGTTTGCATTGCAGCACTGCCTAGACCTCAGGAGATCCTGAGAAGAGAGGGAAGGGAGGGCACTGGAGGCCCTGTCAGCTGTTTTAAGAGGATACCATCCCCTGGATGCTCTGTCAATGCACTCTGGTGGCCTTATGCCTGCTGTTGCATAAGGTCCATTTTAGGTCCCTTTGATGCTTGTTCCAGGGCATGCAGGCAGGTGACCCCAAGGCACCTGGTGTGTCACACTCTGCCTTCCTGCCTCCTTAAATTGGGCTTTTTAACTGCTCATGCAGTGCAAAGAACTGGGGTGTCTGGATCCAGGTACAAACATCCTTAGGCAATCTTGTCCCAAACAAGTATCTTACTTTTAGATACCAACTCCAGGAGGAAACAAAGTGTTTCCTGCCTGGGAAAAAGGGTAGGAGGGCTGCTGCTTCTGTAGCCTCATCCAGCAGTAATTGCTGGTTGTTGAAGTGCTGAGCAAGCAAGGATACTGGAGGGGGCTGTGGTCAGCCATAAATATAAAGGCTGGGACTCCATGTAGCTGCTTGCTGCTTTTCTGAGCTACCTTTTTCTATCTAGCCAAAAATTTTTAAATTAGCTTATTAACTAAGATAAGTGCATGTTAAATTGCATCCTTACCATTTTACTTAAGGAAGTTTCATGTTTTGAAACAAGCACTAACAGCATGCTTGTTTTCTCTGAGAAGAGGAGTCGGGCACTTCCACTGAGGAGCCGTGCTTGGAGTTCAGCAGTAGGTGGGAGACTGTGCTCAAGAGGTACCTGAATCCAGCTCGTTAACCCGCCCGCATACAGGAGCAAAATTGGTTTTGTTATTGGAGTGGTTAAATGCGCTAGTTATGATCTCTTTTTGATGCATTCTTTTCATTTCTTTTGGATCCTTTTTTAGTTTTGCTTAACAGCTTTTTAAGGCTTTTTTTTTTTCCCCTCCCTCTGTCTTCAGCTATTGATGGATTTCTAAAAACTGATGAAAGACAAAGACTGGCAAAGGAAAGAAGAGAGGAAAGGGAGAAATACCTTGGTAAGTTGGCAGGAGGTATATCTATTATTTATATATACTTTTTAATAGGCTTAACTAACATCACATTTTTTGTGTTCTGATTTTTAAATCTTTTTGTTCAGTCTGTTCCTGGTCTTTACCACTTCTTTTAACTTAAATTATAAAAAATAATCTTACTGCATTTCCAGTCAAATATTTAGTATTTTATATTTACAAGTTGACTTTCTTCTTTGATTTGTGTGCCTTTGAATATAGGTTTATGTTCAAGATACTGCTGTTATGATACCAGTTTGTGAAAATTCCAAATAAGCCTTGAATAATACTTAGAATAATATGTAGGATGATTTGATAAAGCAGCCTCAATTTTAGTCTGTTTGGTTTTAGCCACATTGAAATACATAATAGAGTTGTTAAGTACAGCATTAAAGTGTGTACTTTTCTGTAAGTTGTAAAATGGCTAATCTGATAAAAAATATTCTTCAATTCCTGAATAACATAACCAATGACTTCAGATTTTGTTTAAAACAATAATTTATTTTTAATCTATTAATATGACCAGGGAAATGTTGAGAGAATTGCAAAAATAGATATGTAAAAAGTGTAAATATATATTTAAGGGAAGAGGGTGTATACACAATTAAAATATACATATATATGTGTGTGTGTATACATATATATATATTCACATAAATGAAATTTTCTGTTCAACATTGATTCGCATTTCCTATATCCCTCTGTGTATATAAAGTGTTAAACAGTTAACTTCACTTTTGCTCATTGTAATGACAAGAAAGATCAGTAGCACTATTCCTAGAGATAACCTGACAATACCTAGCAGAAGGAGTTGTCAGTGTTTTATGATTGTATGTAAAATTTAAGATAAGCATATATTTTGGGGAATGTCAACTAAACAAGTATGGGCACCTGTCAAAAGAATCATAGGAAACTACTGTTTTTCTTGCAATAAATAAACAAACTGTTGACCATTTATTTGCAAAGTCTGGGGCTTGAGACTGGTGACTTGACATTTTTCATTACCATGGGCTTGGTCAGCATGATTCCTTTTGGTAGTTCTGGTGAAAATGTGCTGCTCTTTAGTACTTAACCTTGCCCGAGCTTCTGTCTATCTGGGACTTACTTCTCTTCCAGGTATGCTCAGTGTAGGCTATCTCTTCTTTCCTCCTGATTATCCCTTCTTTTCTGGTTCCCAAGGAAGTGATATAATTATTAGATTGGAAAGGACTTGGAATAGAAGAGATGAAAAGGAAACGGAAACCTGGAGATTTTGGCCCAGGGGATTTGGAAGGTGGTGTCTGCAATTTTCTCCCAGACATCATATATGGCTCCTGAAAGCATATTTCTTAAGACCATTTCTGTAATGGGGAGTTGGATTTTGGTCACACTTTGATTGTGAGAATTTTCTTTTAGAAGTTCAGAAAAAAGCAGCATGTTCCCCCAAGGGTCAGATCTTTAAGGAGTCGGCAGATACTGTATAGCAATAGGAAGTAACTTTTTCACCTGAGCCAAAACTCATTAATCAGTGGTTTAGCATCCTGAAATTAAGCAACAAGAATTTTATGTGTGTCCATGATGACAGAATTGTTTACTTCTCTGTCCAGAATCAGTCCCAGGTTTCACCTATTTACTCAGAAGGTAATCTTAGCACAATCTTTGGACACCTCACTTTATTTTTGGTTTTTATGAACTTCAGCATGCTTTGTCACCTGCTCTACCTGATGTGGCTAGCAGTTGGAATAATTAATGCCTGGTCACTTGTTATCCACTGTCTCTGAGGTAACTTTGTTGACAAGTCTGAATTTAATGCATTCAATCCAGGTTCACTGCATCACTGACACTCCCCTCATACTATCCTGTCTGAGTTGGGAGGATTAGTAGATTTTCATAGGACAAAAGGGGGAGACAACATCAACTGTATTTCTAAAAAGAATAAGCCAGAAGGTGTTCTGGAAAGCAGGCTGGATTTGAGGAGGTATTGTAGAAGGTTTCTGTATTCAAGGGAAAGAAATTGAATGTTGGAAAAGGATCTGTTGTTGGGAAGACTCTGGCTTTAACCCCAGGGGAGTGAGGATGGAGTGGGGCTAAGAGGGACAGAAAGTCACAGGTGTGGTTAAAGACCCTGGGGACAGGAACTGAGGGGAAAAGGCTGATCTGAGAAGAGGCATTTGGAATGACTGGGCAAGATCCTAGGAACAGTGGGAAGATAATATGGGAGAGTTAGAAGGATGATGGTGTGCTGCACAAGGAAACAGGAACTGAAGAAACAAAGGCATAATTGAGCAGAGGCATAAGTGAGCAGGAAGAAGGACTAGCTCTTGTATTAACAGTGTTAATTCTGGCATTTTTTGATTTCAAGCTTTAGCCTAGCAATATTCTTTGATATTGGCTATATGTGTGTTGTTATGTGACACTACAGGCTTGTGTGTATATAGGCATGCTTACAGAACTCCTCTGTTGCCTTTTTATGGAATACATGTGCATGGGAAATGGATTTTTCCTCTCAATTTGCCACGTTAATTCCTGCTACTTGTTCTCATATGTACACCTGAAGCAACAGTCCAGTATGTATTGTTGCAGTCCGAGTTTCTGAAACATCAGGGTAATGTCCCATGAAGATTATTGCTCCAGTAGGAATAAACAGCTGGGCAAAACCTCAGTACAGAAGTAATTTTTTTTCATGTGAAGAAGCAGAAGTGGGTAAAGATGTAGCACCAAATCAGGAGCTGAAAGATGTATTTTCAAAACTCCATAGAAAACACAGAATATGTTGTTTACGAGTGTCTGTTTTAAAGGCAGCTCCATAACAAGAAGCAGACTTTTAAAGAAGTCCCAAGGGCTTTTGCTTCTACATATAGAGCTGATTTCCTGTCTAAAAAAAATAATTTGGCTTTATGCTTCAAAGGGACTTGATACATTAAAAACATTTGCTAAACTGTTTTGTACACCGGGGTACAAACTAGCACCTTGTGTACAAGGGCTTCCCTATTTATTTATTGAGCAAGTTGCTTAGATTAACTAATAATTTCTGTACTTCTGTGCACTATATTTTTAATCTCAACTGACTAAAATCATGTGTACTTGTATTTGTTGTTTTGCACTATTGTTTCATGTAACCAAATAATTTTAAAATGGAAGAAAATTTGCATGATGTGAAATGCACCCTTTTCTCTGCATAAGCTGCTAGGGAGCAGCAGATACTGGAGAAGGAGAGAAGAGCAAAACTTCAGTATGAAAAGCAAATGGAGGAGCGATGGAGAAGACTGGAGGAGCAGAGGCAGAGAGAGGAGCAGAAGAGAGCAGCTGTTGAAGAGAAGCGGAGACAAAAGCTCAAAGAGGAGGAGGTGAGGTCTGCTGGGAGATGTATGGCAGCGCTGAACATGGCTGAATATTGACACGCATTAAACCATGGGGGGTGGGAGCAGGACTGGAGACATGTGAGCAATTACTGCAGGAGCTGCAAAGCACATCACCAGAGCTGTAAGTAGTCTACCACTGTACATCAAAAACAGTTTCCAAAACAATTTTTCAAAATTTTTGTCTGATCTCCTGGAATAGTCATCTACTATTGCTAACATATCTGGGACTCTGATTGTCAAATATAAAGCACCAGCTTTTTGGAAGGAAGTCTTTAAAGATGAGTGTTTCCAAAAAGGGAAAGATTCTTCTTGTTGTTCTGTTTACTGTCCACGAAAAAGAAATAATGTGTTGTTCCATTTTTCCTCAGTGACAGAAACTCAGAAATTTGTACTTAAAGCAGTGAAGAATCTAGGCTGTTTTTAAATTCTAACATAAAACAGAAACAGATATTTTTAAGCATCTTCATGCCCTTCATCTATTTTGTGCTCCCTGCTGAGATCACTTAAGGTTCTTTTTTTTGCTCTAGTGAGTCCAATTTCTGGTACAGCTCTCTGAATGCAGGATGTGTGTGTATATCTCTGCATGACATTATATGGAGAACACCAGCACTGCTACCCGCAACTGATAAAGAATTAATGATTTTTGGAAAAGGAGGCAGTGATTAAAAAAATAAAAAAAGCCAAAAGAAAATATTTCCTCAATTCCTGCATTAAAAAAAAAAAGCTTTAGAAATCCATAGTTCTTAGCCTCCATTTTTCTGCCCTGTCCTTTCATCAGAATAACTTTGCAAAACAGGTAAAACACTTTTGCATGATTTCACAATAACATACAGTTGTTCACTGAATTTTTTGTTTGATTTTTCACTTTACTTGAAGAAAAGATTGTATCCTGTCATTTCTCGTTCAACTTTAACATTCTCATTGTGGCTTCTATGTAATGGCAGAGAATTAATTTAAAAATATTTTATGTGTTTTGTTTCAAATTCTTTGAAGAAAAATGGGAAAAAGCAGAAACAAAGGGTAGGAGATCCCTCTATTGTGGTAACAGCATTGAAGTCCTGTGCTCCTTCTCCAGCATTTCCTGCTGTAATAACCTTTTGCAGCTAAGAAAATCGATTCCCTTTGTGAGGGTTGTAAGGGGAAGGGGCAAGTTACAAAAACATCCAAAACCCTGCCCTCAAAATTTTCAGCAGAGCAGGACAGAAGGGCGGAGAGGTGTAGGAAGAGCAAGTATCCACCAGCTTTCCCTGCATTTGTGGTTTGCCTTCGCAGAAGAAATGAGAGCAGAGTTGTTGGATGTAAAGGGCAGTGACAGGTCAGACCCAAGGTGTCTGTTCAGCAGGGGCCGATCCCATCTCCTGCAGTGGCCTCCTGCACTTCCCCAGAGGTGGGCATGAGAGGCTGAGCATACTGTGATGCTCTTCCCAAGCTCCAGCAGGCCTGTTCCAGCTCCCCAAGACACTGCATGTGTGAGGATGCTTGCTTATTTGGGGATGGATTAAACCTGTGAGAGGAAAAAGTCCAGGAGCCTCAAAGGAAAAGAGGGTGCACAGGGGAATAATCTGGAGAACAGGGGAGAGTGAGAGAAGGAAAGTGGGAATAGGAGGCATCATCACCTCCTAGCTTCCCTTCATACTTTCTTTTTCCTCATTTCTCAAATTCTGTTTGAATTCTACTAAAGGGTCTGCCAGTTCAGCCTCACCTTCCCTTGTTCTTGTGATGAACCCCTCAACCTCTGTGTGCATAATAACAGTGGAGGTCTGAGTAAGGATGGTGATGAATTTGCAGCTCCCTGGGCGTTGCGAGTTACTCACTGCTTGTGAGTAATTTTGGCCATTTAAGGCTGTCTTTACTGGAAAAGCTTTGAACCACCTGGGGTATGAGGGTGTATGTGCTCCTGCCAGTAAGCCAGTATATTGTGGCATCTTCTCAGTGTTTCTCCTTTCAACACCAGTTAACACTGGCTGGGTACTGGAGTACCCACTTTACTTGCTCATCAGGTGTCTGAAATGACAATTAGAGAGATTTTCTTCCTTGCTCTCTGCCTTACTGGTTGTCCTTTATAGTTTTCCTGAATTAATTTTCCTTGTTTTTTAAACAGAGCAGAAAGTAGTGCACATTTATGGTAGGAAGAGGTCATGTAAATCTCTGTGTACAAACTATTGTTGTTGCCTCTGAAAGAGTCTGAGAGGAATAGATCTTAACAAACTGGTGGGGATTTGTTTGCTCCTATATCAGAGCATCCTGTGCTTGACTGTTTTGCTTGCAAAGGACTTCTTAAAGAAGTGGCTAACATTTGATTTATTTTGCTTAGTTTTCCCCCTCAACAGTGCCACATAAGGGATGGTGTTTTTTAGGTCTCTCTTGGTAGAAATCAAGGTACTCTGTCAGAGTTCTTTGGGGCAGTTGGAGATTGTTGCAGAGCACAGTGAAAGTGTCAGATTCTTCAGAAGGGGCAGTTGGAGATTGTTGCAGAGCACAGTGAAAGTGTCAGATTCTTCAGAAGGAACTGAATAAATAATGTTTAGAAATTATTCTGTCTATATTGACTGCATCTTTCTTATCTACAGAGGTATTCAGTATCACTGCCCTTCTCTTTGGATTACTTTTAAAGCTGTGCACTACTTTTAGTAAAAGCAGCCTTGAATAAAGCACTGTGTTGTTCTACGGAAGTGATTTAAAAGTTTCTCTTAACAGGGATCTGGACAAAAGTAACTTTCTCAGTTAAAGTAATTCTTTTCCCTTTCCTGTCTTGAACTTCCATGTAACTTGGAAATACCTTGTAAATAGATGTCTAGCTGTACACAGGTTATTGGGAAGAGATTGTTTTGGTGCATGTGCACTATTTGTTACATTTGTAAAAAGAATGTGCTTAGACACAAAAGAGTGAAAAACTCTCAAGATGTTGTAGCTGTAATTACTTCCTGTACTCCACTCCAAAGATTAAGCCAACTGATAATCTCAGGAAACAGTGAGCTACTTACATACAGTACTGTGTATAAAGTGAGGAGGAAGAGATGGTTTGGGGCTCTTTCAGATGTTTGTCTTGCAGATATAAGGAGATTGGTTTATAATTATTTGCATAAATTATTTTGAATCATAATACTTGAAACATTGTTTTCCTTGTCACATCTGTGTTATATTTTACAAAAAAAAAAAGGAAAGAACTTATTTTTGAGAAACCAAGTAATTCGACTGAGTTTTGAGGAGCGGGGTTTTGTTTGCTTTTAATTCAGACAGTACAAGTGCTTATTCTATTGCTCAGGCTGAGGAAAACTTGCATGAGTAACTAGATTTTGGAAAGTAATGTATATTTTAGATGTTAGCAGTAGATGTCTCTCTCTTGTGATTTTATTCATTCTTAGTTTAACCTACATGCAGTGCTTGTGCATTGTGAAAATTCAGTATATCTTGAGAGCAGACATTGTTTCCTCTATCTGTAGCTGTTAGAGTTCCCAAATGAGATCACATAGTCTGGTATGTTTTCAAGAAGGTGCTTTGCCTATAACATAAACTGGAAGGGTTTTCTGCATTGTTTGCTGATGAAGGAAAGCTTTGTCTTGTGGTTTAATTTTCATCATGGAACAAATTATTAATGTATGAGTTGTTTATGCTATGCTTGCTTATGTCTTATTATTTTCTTTGGCTTCTTAGTTTTGTGCCAAGTTAAAATGTTTTTAATAACTATGCTTTCTTTGTGAAAAGCAGCCTTTGTATTGTTCTTTATCTAACCTATATCTGCAGAGGTTTTTGAGTTTTGATAATTATATTCTATAGTGCTCTAATGAAAGGCTCTTTGCAAATGAAAATGAATGATTGTCTCCAAATAATGTATCTGAAGATTTCAGCCTCAGATTGTAGGTAGCATGGGCTTTCAAATGTGTATGAAATGTCATTTAATTTCTTTAATCTATTTCAGCATGGATTTTATTCTTGAAACAATACTTTGATAGTAGTTGTAAGTGTATTCTGTGGTTTGCAAACTATAGAATATTGCTTACTCCAAGCATTGTTAAAAAGCCCCAAACAAGACAGCAAACAGAAATAATTGAAACACGACTGCTTTAATTTTTTTTTTTTTATTAATGAATAGCAATATTCATTAGAAATGGAAAAAACAGGTTCTATGTAAGAGTATGCTTTAATGAGAAAGAAATGGGAGGGTGCTTTTCCTTAGTAAAGGGTGTGGGTAGAAAGATAGATTAAGGCAAGTTGCATAGTAGAAGAAAGTGGTGAAAAGAGGCACGCTGCAGAGAGGAACTGGTGATGAAATATGTGAGGTTTGGAAAGACTAAGAAAAGGGGCTCAAACAGAATTAAGTTAGAGATGTGGGGAGCTCAAAGTAAAAAAGCACAAATTTGTAATGCAAAGCCTGCACATCCAGGATTTAAATGTGAAGCTTGTATCATCAGGTAGTAAGAGAAGAAAGAAAACCTCTAGCAAACTAAAGCGGAGAGGACTGACTGCGGAGTCCAGAAAGTGGAAAAAGATTTGTTTCTTTTTCACAGGCAGGGTGTGTGTAAGAACCGAATGGGGTGTTCAGAGCTGTGGGGGGTTTCTGTGCTCTTGCAGAAGAGGCTGTGCTTGAGCCTTGTGATGCTTCCTTCATTTGCTCTGTAGGGAGAAGGGAAGAGGCTGAGCTCTCATTTTCATGCCTGCCTGGACACTGATGGCACTGAGTAGCAGAGGAGGGGGATGAAGGGGGGGAGGGGGCAGGGAAGCAGCTGCTTGCTCTCAGTGGTCTTTGAATGATGTTACCTGACAGACTGTGAGCTCACAACACGGCTGAAAGATCATTTTCCTGGAGACAGCAGCAGAAATTGTAACAGCAGGGTGGGTCACCTGGCCAAAAGGTAAGAGACAGGAGAGCTGGGGATGATAGAGGGTGCAAGAATTTCCTTTTTTTCACTCTTTGTATAGAGGGTGACAGAATATTTTATAGCACAAGTGATTTGTAATAAAATTAGAAAAGAGCTTAAAGATTTTGTGATACAATTAAAGAGAGCTTGATGTTGATACTGATGGATAACTGGTAGCAGGGTTTGATGAGGTGGAAAAAATGAACTCAGAAATAAATTACTGCAAGTCATGGTAGTAGAAGGGATTCTTCAAAGATATGGAAGAGGCAAAAGTATATTGTAGATAACCAAAATATGATGAGGGGACATCTGGCAATGTAAAAAGTCAACCAGAGTCAGAAACCCAGGAAGGTAAGAGAAAGTTTACAGGTACATGTATAAAAGTATGGAGACAACTGGATTGTAAGGGTCTGATGTGCTTAAGGAGTTCCATCAGAGACAACTGGCTCACCACCAGTACAGAGCCTGAAGGAAACACACTTAGACAAAGACTGAATGTTTTTGGTAAAATAGCTCAGGAAAGCCAGACTGAAGGCATTAATCAGTGAGAGAAAGTAATTTGGTCAAGAGATGTATGAAGGGTTTTCCACACAATTTATCTGAGCTGCCAAAAGATATTGGAGATAGGGCAGGGGATTGATAAAAATCAAAATGGGTATGATGTAATCACAGAAGCCTGCAGGATCCAGTTTGAAGTAGATGAGAGTAGGAGTTTTATACTAGGCCAAAAGAACATAGCAAATGTAATAAGGAATAACACCAAAAATACTAATAGGATCAAAGGGCTAAAACTCCCTGGGCTGGAGCTGGAGACAGCAAGAGTAGACTTATCTTTCACAGTAGGGGTTGGGCTGCTGAAATGTGAGGGTGAGGAGGCTGTCAGATGCCAGTGAGGTACTGAGAGGAGGGAAGGAAGAAGCTGTTAGATGATGAAATTGTGGGAGGGGGAGAACCACATTTTATCTGCTTGAAAGGAGGAAAAGAAAAAGTGCAGGGATCATTGCCACAACAATAAATCATTGAGAAAGTAGCAGAGGGAGGAGGTGGGAATGAAACTCAGTGAAGGTCGTTGAGAGTCAAGAGGTGATGGAAAAGGAATAAAGTGACCAAACTTAGCTGTAAGTTAAAGGTAGAGCAAGATTTGGGGAGATAAAAAATTAATTTTATTCTTCCCATTTAAAATCCTAACTTGTGGAGAAGAACATGGGGGTGGCAGGGGGAAAAAAAGTAAATCTTGGAGCAGTATGAGGTAGGCATGCTAAAATAAAATACATAGAGAAGGAAAAAAACCCAGAAGATCTCAAATGCCTCGACTTAAGGAACATAAAAGAAGAAAGGAGGGAGTTTTGGTAAAAATAAATAAATAAGTAGGGCATCCTGCAAAGTAACCTACTTTGAGTTTGAAGCGATCATTTATCTGAGTGACTAGGTGGAGCCACTGGCATTGCAGCAATTTAACTGTGCTCAGAAAGGGATGGGAAAAAATCTGATGTCTGCATAGACAAGAAGGAGTTAATGCTTGTCGAGCATTATTCTTATACAAATTAAGTCCAGAGCACAGCAGCAGCCTCACCAGCAGGAGCAGATGCTAGGCAGTGATGCAACCTGTGTTATTTACTTAGGCCTCTGTAGTGACCTCAGTGGCTTGCAGACAAAGGATACTTGTATCTGGAGGTAGGTAGCATGCTGATACCTTCTTTATTCAGTTCTTTTTCTTTCATTGTGAGCAAGCTCCTCTAAGCATCTTGTGTGGAGCAACAGGGGGACTGTGTATTTTTAGCCTGGTTCTAGAAGGCGGGGGAAGAAGCCCCCAGAGAACTGACTGGGATTTGTGTCTGGGTTTGTACCAAAATTACCAGGAACGTTTAGAAGCCATGATGCGCCGGTCCCTCGAACGCAGCCAGCAGCTGGAGCAGAAACAGAAGCGATGGTCGTGGGGAGGAGCACTGGCTGCAGGCTCAGGAGGCAGAGATGGTAAGTGAAGCAGGCTGCCTGCATTGCAGATCTGGAAGTGCAAAATGCATGAGATTGTGGAGATAGTAAGTATGATGGGTTTATAGTCAGGGTGGTACCGCAGGGGCTACTGCCTTGGGGCGTGAATAAGTGCTTTGTACTTGCTTGCCGGGCTTCCTCTCCCTAATACCTTCTGTGGAGACAGGTTCCTCTGAAGTTTAGGAATGTAGATAATTCTAGCAGAGTAACCAGAATCAGTTTGGGAGATGCTAAATGCTAAAATTAAAATTGATGCACTGTCTCCCTTAATAGCTTCTTCCACATTGTCTTCCCATGCACACAGTTAGCAAATTTAATATTCACTAAATGACTGAGTGCTGTCTAAGGCTTGAAAAAGATGTTCTGTTTTTGTTTGGTATTTCTAAATCCTGATGGGAATTTCTAGATGACTATGCAGCATGTGAAGTTTAAAATAGTTTGAGTTTTTTCCCCACGTACATTCTGTTACTGCTATTTTTGCTTTGGCTTCAGAGGAAATTCTTTTTATTACATAATGAGTCATGTGCTGCTTTTATATTTCAGAAAGATGCATGTTTTCTCTTTTAAATCATATAATTTATTTGAATTTTTCAAGTTTGAATAAACTGATGTTATAGGGAAAAACATCCATGTTTGGGTGTTGATGAAATATAACAATTGCTCTCTTTTAAATAGTGTATAAGTATACTTAACTTTAAAAAGACAAACTGTTTCATGTCATAGTTTTCATGATATGTCATTTTAAAAAGCCAGGGAATTATATATATAATAATGAAGTCTCTTATACTTTGAGAAAGAAACCAGTTTTCTTTGTGATGCAGTTTGTGCTTAATTCCAGCTCCCCCAACTTATTCAGTAATTTCTTTCACCTCTCTTTGCTCTGATTTCTCTGCTGTGTAGGTGAATCAGAAAATACCCCACCCCCTGTTCTAGGTTTAGCTGCCAACACCCTTCCTCCAGACCCTGTGACCTCCACTGCTCCTGCTGATTCCTTCAATGGTATTTCAGAGAATCACAGTACCATCATGTCTTGTTTATAACTGTTCTAATCACTGTAATCCATCCACTGATCTTGTTCTTCTTAACCACTGTTTTCTTATCATTTCAGCCTGATACCTTACAGCATTACCCTTAGTGATGTAGACCAGTGTCTTTTAATTTCCTTTTAATTTGCCATGGTGGAGCAGTGCATGCCTCACATTCCAGCCCAGTAGAGGCATTTCATGGTTTTCTCAGTAACTGTAGATTTCTCCTGCTCAGATTCTCATCTTTGTTAATTCTGCAGGTGCTCTGTGTGTGTGTGTGTGTAATTACACATACTTGATAGTTCTAATGGATGTGCACAGGTGCTGTTGAGAAAATTTGCAGTTGCACAGTAAGAAAATGTGTTATGAAGACCAAAAAAAGGCCCTCTTTTTCCATCTTAAGGGCCTTCTCCTGCAATATTTTGAAAACAAGGGAATTTGATGCAAACAGCCATGTTATGTTTTCAGCTTCCTAGAATGAAGTTTGACCAAGCTGGTATTTGTAAAAAATTCAAGTGGTTGACTTTGTTTAAGCAACCATGTTTTCAATTGTTCAGGTTTGGTTTTAGTGTTTTTTTTTTGTGGGGTTTAATTTGTGTTTTATTTTTTTAATTGTTATTCCCATAAAAGGGCTCTGAAGTAGATGAGTTGTCCAAAATTACAAGTGGATTGCATATAGGATTTCAAATTGAAAATGTGATTTGATTTGATTGCAAATGTACTTGGCATTTTGAAAAGAATACACAGCCTGTGCTTTTGAGAAGTAGGTTCTTTCTCTCCCCCAAAGGAGGAGTCAAGCTTGGCTATTACTCCTGCAGAATTCACAGTAAATATTGTTCTGTCTATGATCTCACAGAACTATTACTTCTGTGCAAACGGATTCAATTTTTTTACTGATTGTTGTTCATGTGCAAAGGTATTTGCCTGTGCAACTGATGTTTTGCAGCATACCAGCATTATATCTGTTTTTTTTAAAAAAGGAAATGTAGTGAATTGCATTGTTTACTGTAGTAGATGGAGGCAAATTTTGGAAACCCCACTAAGGCAGTGATTTGATGGACATAACAGGGAATGCAGTGACTTAGGAGGTGTGGAATTAGGGTCTCATACATGTCTCTAGCTGAAAATATTTTTGGTTTTGAAAGAAATAAAATTCAAATGTAGGGGACGAAGCATCTGTGCTTTTAGCTTCTGAGTATCATACAGTGATCATCAGGTACTAGTAATCTGTACTAATACTTGAGTAAAATTCCTCTTTCATTCAGTTGAATATAAATCCTAAGGTAGAAAATGGATATTATGCTGAAGCAGATTTTATCAAATAGTGTTTCAGAAGAAAAATATAACAAAAAAAACTGTCCCTTTTTTTTAGTTCTTCTCAAGCACAAAATGTTAAAGCCAAATGGCTAATGCCAGCTCAGTCATTAAAACAATGAGGTCTTATATAGAAGCAGAAATGTTGGTTATATAATTTTCTTATTAGAGTAATGTCTGATGTGAAATTCAACTCTTCCAGACTGAAGGTAGAAGGGAGGGGGAATGAAGATGAGTTCAGAGTTGCTGTGTGGGGTTTGTTTTCTTTGGACAACTTTATGCTTGTGCTGATATATAATTATTTATCAGTGTCAGTATAAAAAATAGGCTGTTGTGAAACTGCACAATTCACAAGCAGAAAAGTTGCATGCCAAAGCATGTGTCATAGAGTGCTGGTCCTCAGTGGTCAGAAAGAGCTCATCTCGTGCCAATTCAGTGTTGTGATCAGTGCAAGGGCCATGAGTACAGATGCAAGGTTAATTTTTTGAGTTTATCAACACTGTGGTGTGAATACAAATATCTTCAATGCGTTTCTCTGCAGCATGTGACAAACTTTCAGCTTCTACAATGAATCTGCCAAAGCAAATGGAGTCGCCGATCAGTAAACGCCTCTCATCCTCCACAGTGGCCATAACGCATTCCCCCGACAGAGGCAAGTGAACGTGCTGGTCTCCTGCCAGCATAAACTCTCCTTCTGCTTAAAGCACTTCTGGTCCATAGAGCTCTGGGGTTTGTTTATGTCTGTTATTCAAAGGAACTCAAACATCTGAGAGATTCTTTATTAATAACATGGTACTGCAGCCTGTCCCAAGGCTGTGCTGCCATGCTGGAGATCATAGTCCAGCAACAAATGCTATGAGCTTTTTACTGATCCTTTTCCAAATTTTGATACTCCAGCAAACTGGGTTATAAGTACAGGCTGTGACTGCAGCAATTTCCTATAACTGTACTGCTTGTGGCCTTCTATCAAAATAAGGAAAAAGAAGCAAAGCAAAGGTGTGGCCTGGCAGTAGATATAGGATGTTCCATATGTAGGCATATGTCTCATGAGCCACCTGGGAGACTTCGATCTGGTGACCAGAGTTGTAGAGCCTGTTGATTTCTTACGAAACTCTGATCCTCAAGTGGCTCCACAAAAGATGATCATCTTGTAGGATTAGTGGTTGCTAAACACTATAAAGAGGACTGAAGAGTTTATCTCACTGTGAACTCTTTGAATTTTTTTAGGTTTATTTTGTGTTTGCTTATTTCTTTCTATCCCCTTTTTTTAAGTCTAATGGGAAAAATATATTTACTGAAATAAATTATGAAGGCTTGTTTCTGGAATGAAAAAGAGAAGGTAAATTTATTTTAATTTTTGAATTGCTTAAGCTAATCAGAAGCTTTGAGGTTATTATGACAGATGGCTATATATACATGTCATAGGAACACCTATAAATATGTCTTATATAGTTGACACTTATATTTATGGAGTAGGCAGTAATGCAGGCATATTGTGTAAATAAGACTTACATAACATGGTGAGATGGCAGATTTCAAATGCAGTCCCAGCATGGGTGGCACATTAGTGAGCAGCTGCTCTGATCTACCAAGTGTTTTACCTTTCCTGCTGGGGAAGAAGACAAACTTTTTTTGTGCTGGGTCATGAAAGCAACCATTTTGTAGAATGGAACATGCCTCTAAGTAAAAACAAAATACAACATGATCTTAACCTTAATGTGTGTAATGTATAAGTGGGAAACTTAAAACAGTGGAGAAATGATAAGGTTTTTTTCAGAGGGAATGAAAATTATCTTCAAGTATTTTAAATCTCAGAAAGTTCAAGAATTTTTTGTCATTTCATTTAATCATTTCATCATTTTGTTTCAGTTATTTTAATGTAACATTGTTTTATTTATTTACATTTTAAATCTTATTTTATTTGCTCCCATCCTTCAGCTCACCGCATGCATCTTAGTCCAGTGGAAAATTTTATTGTTTCTCGACTGCTGACTCCCACACAGTCATCTTTAGCCAGAAGCAGAAGTACATTAATGCTTTCTGAGCAGTACAATACTCCAGGTAAAAATGTGACTTCCTCACTTTGAAACCACTGAGGTATGTTTTTAGCTGCATTTATGTAGCTGCTGGAAGAAATGGAGTACTATGAAACAAATGGCAATTTACAGGATAGTACAAAATCAATGATGAACTCAGTTGTTTCAGATAGCAGTATATTTAAAATCTTTGAAAAGCACACTGTCTTTTCTGTGCTATTCTGAATATTTTAGAAAAAAATCATTAAAACTGCAGACTAAAAAAATACTATATTCATTTAAAAAACAGGTTTTTAGACAAGGATGTTACAACTCTCAGAGGCTTTGATTGATTTATTAACGTCAGCCCTGTCATACCCAAAGAGTATGTAGAACAAAAATCCCAGTGCACCATTGAGACTTAATTATTTTTACCAGGGTTCCAGTTTACTTATTATTAAGTATATTTTTGACTTTTACTCTGTGTATGTGACACCTATATATATATATAGGTGCAGATACACATATGGAAAAACAGACTATTGATAGGAAGGTGTCAGTTCCAGAAATTATTGATCTTTATGGGATGATAGTTACCATTCCTATGTGTAAAGGGTAGACTAATAAAACCATTATTTTGCAAACATCTACAAAAATAATGTTTCCAATCCTGCTAATAATTGGGCAAGTGCCTGACTTCAAATAGTTTCTGCTTATAAAGCCATACCTGATCATAGCATTGGCTGAAACAAGACAAAAGTTTAACAGCCCTTTATAGTTTTAATAGAACAAACAAAAAACGTGCCCCAAAGCACGCACCCAAATGCCTGTCTGCAAAAGGAAACACTTTTCCAGGATTAAACTATTTAGATGATAAAAGACTGATCATCTTTATCATAAAGTGTTTTCACACGTCTTGGTTAAATAGGGTCTTGGTTAAATAGGCTTACGTTCTGCATCTGTGCTTTTCATGCAAAGCTATTTAAATATGAATTGCTAAGTAAACCTACTTTCCCTTGTGTTTTACTTCTCTGTTCAGTGCATAGGGACATTGCTACTGAATGCCTCTAAAATTGCATCCCTTGTTTCTGCATTAAAACCAGCCTCTACTGGAAGCAGAAATGTTTTCATATAGTATTTGAGAAAGTGCCAGTTTGGTTACTGCTCAGGGAGCAGCTACTGTCAAGAGTGAGCAAAACCCAAGTCAAAATTAGATTACATTCTGCTTAAGATTTTGAGCTGAATTGCCGAGGCCACCTGTGGTTTCTTTTATTTCAGTTTTGTATTTGATATCAAAGAAATCAATAAGGATTACTTTTGTCCTTCCTCACTCATTTTGTTTGTAAACTCTCAGGTTTATCTCTCTTCATCACAGAATCTTTGAAGTAATACACTGGCATGTCTGACAAGGGTACAATATGTTCTGAAAACTGCTTTTCATTGAGCTGAAGCAGGGCAGCTGATTTTGGCAACAGCTTTTTGAACAAGCATCCTTTTGTCATTTTACCACAAGGCAATTAGGCTGTAGCCCAGGTTGCAAACAACAATCTCAGAAGCCATTGACATTTTGTCAGTAATTGCTAGCAAAACAGTCGAGGGACATCTCTCATTTGTCATGTACTTCACACCATAGAAATAGCTTCTGAAAAAGGAAGAGGGATCTTCCTTTCCAGGAGCTCATGCTGTGCCTCCTGTCATTATGCTGGGGTCAAAGTTGCTCTGCTACTGCATTTTCTGTAAGCTTAGAAATGAGGAGCCTCAATTTCAGACTCTACAGCAACACATTATTAATGTCACTCGAAGTCAAGGTATTCGGGCAAGCAATTGTTACTGGATGCATAATTAATTCTTTAAGCAGTTGAAGTAAAAATATTTCTCTTAAGCAGCTTTTAAGTTTCTGAATGTTTTTGTTAATATACAGTGACCTTATGCCGCTTGGCTGAAAAGTGGGTCAAAGAATACAAAGGTCCAGTTAAACTTCAAAGCATTCAAAAGAGCGTAATAAAAATTTTATTAGGGCTGTCTCCAGTAAAAAATTTGGGAATGTGACTTTCTTTATATTAGTGCATAATTGCTGCTTTTTCAAAGTCAATGACTCCTGACTTTAGTTGACTAAAATTGGAAACATTCTATCACTTGATTGCAATTAGTGTCTGTCTTATTGATAAAACATATAGTCTGTTGATTGTTCTATATGTATGTGAAAGTTTCATCTTAGAAGGGCAATATGAACAAAATCAGGAGTAAAATATCCCATTTTAAAAAATCCTGTTCATATTGCAAATAAATAAAAACTTGCCATATAAACTGTAATGCATGTGTCACACTCAAATTGATGTCTCCCTCAAATAAAAATAACTGAAATACCTACAGCAGCATTTAGTTTAGGTTTGGAGGCTTTTTTGTTAATTTTTTTATTAATTATTTGGAAAGTAATTAACATATTTAGAAGCCTTTGCATGTTTAGGGTTTAAAAAAGACAAAATTCCCTAAGCTTTTGTCACCTTTCCTGTTTTGCAGTATGTGTTCAAAAGTCACCCAGTTAGCATTATCTGCTTACTCTTTGTATCGTATGCAAAGGAAGCTGGACTTCTTAGAAGAAAAAGGAGTCACAGTATTAGTCATGGTATTAGAACTGGTGATTCAAAAGGTGTATGAGAAAAATAGTATTATATTTTAGAGATAATTTTTTTCCTATAAAATGTTTCAGTTGAGACATTTTTAACAAACATGGGATCATGTTGAATGCATTATATGTGATATTTTAAAACACTAAAAAACGCTTTAAAACTACCTTTGGACATTATAACATAAAAGTATGCTGTTTTCTCCCCTCCTTTACTTCCTCTATCCGTGCTCCTTTTTGCTCTTGCTATTGTGCTATAACTCTTTAGTATTCCATATCTGTCCCCGTGTAGCACCAGCTAGTCCTCTTAAATCTCCCTACAAGCCTTCCCCCACCCGAAGCACCGACAGGAAGAAGGCAACTTCACCCTCCACTGCCAATGCCATGAAAGGGGCTCCTGCAGCTGAAGTTACTCAGGTGAGTTTGCAATGGTTTTGATTTCACTGTTGGGTAAACTGATGCAGCTTCTGCTTGTTATCTTTCCCTTTACATTAATACAAATGAAGTACTTTCCCTGCTATAAGAAAAAGCAGAAGAAAAGTAAGCCTGTTGTCTTTGTGCTCCTGTTAAGGAGCATTTTAATATCTTCTTCCTCCTGAGAATCAGTGCTGAGTGCTGGTATTGGAACACCAACACCCCTATTTTCAGAGAACTGAGGCCCTGAAGTGTATGTTTTTGGACTTGCTTATAACTTCTGGGAATGGAGATGACAAATAGAATTCTCTCCTGAGTATGGCTATCCAGGCTTGCTGGTTGATGAGCAAGCTTCATATATTTCAGAAATTCCCCAAGTGTATTGATAATGCCTCTGTTTTACACCAATTGCTTTAACTCTTTCTGTGGACATTTTTAATGCTGTTTGCTTAAAAGATGCGTTATTGATCCACCATAGTTCCCAGAAAAGGCAAGTCACACACCTTCACTGAGTCTACACATTTTAAGGCATGCTTTAAAAAAATTCTGTGTTAGAACTATAATATTATAATAACATAATAATAATAATAATAATAATAATAATAATAATAATAATAACTATAATATTATAATAACATAATAATATAATAACATAAGGTCCTGTATCTTGTAATACTTAATGATAGGGGGATTCATGTAATCTAAATTAGCTGCAAGTGAGGGAACCGAAGCTGGGAGTAAAGATTTGTGTAGTGTCATTCTTAGTGTGATTCAGTGTTACATGCAGCAACATTTCTGTGATATGCTGGTTTGCACTGCTGATCATGTCTAAGCAGGGGCATATGGATGATTTTGAAGATTCCACCCAGTGCCACCACCCCACCCAAGAACTCTTGCAGAGGCTCTGATGTGCACTACTTATCTAAAATTTGCATGCTCTGCCCATGCAAGACGGGTGGGTGTGTGCTATGTCTATGTAAAATAAAAAACTATTAACAGCACCTCACTCGTGAGCTGCCTGTTTAAAAAGCTTTTACAAGTGTACCACACAGATCTTTAATATACCATCTTGCTAATAAAACAATCAAATGCATTTTTGATTTATTGATCCTAATTATGGCAATTAAAATGAACTGTGCTTCTAGACTGAGAAGATAAAGAAGGAGAAGCGACCTGCAACACCTGGTTCATCATCTGGTATGGGATCTCCTCTTAGAAGGTCTGATTCTCCTGCTGCCATGTCCAGAAGATCTGCATCACCTGCAACACCTAAGTATGCCTTTCTTATTAGTGGTCAAATGTCCTGTGAATTTCTCATTACCTGTAAATAAGGCATAGATTCCTGAGGAACTTCCTTTGAAGTCTTGTATAAAATCCAGTTAATTTTACTAATACACACACACATATACAGATGGGTGAGAGGAGAAGTGTAGATGATATCTAATATCTGTAATATTGTGTTAGTACCCACTAGAGACAGTTCTCTCTACCTTTTCTCAGTTTTGAGATTACAGTGCATTTCATTATTCATATGAAATTTTACTTCACATTTATTTTTAAAGATGCTTTTTTTTTGTTTGATTTTGAAGAAACTGCCTAATGTGAAGAAATGCACTCATCATGAATACTAACTAGAAATTCCAGCATTTAATATATGCATTTCCTATTGTTGGCATGGCCATCTGGTGCCATAAATACGTTTAACTATGTGTCATCTAAACCATTGGTTTTAACCTTAGCTCATTTGCAGACCTTTGTGGTTTTGTTGTGCCTTTTGCTTTTGTTTTTTTGTTTTGTTAAAGGCAGAGCTGTGGATCTATAGCATATCTGGCTATATCATATATTACTGACAAGTAACTTGCTTTTCTTGATTGTCTTTTGCTGTAAACTGTATTATGTGTACCACAGCTTGAAACTCAGGTCTAAGCAAATGGGTCTTCAGGTTTCTTAGAACAGGATATTAAGTCTGGCTCTAATGTAGGAGTATGCTAAAGTAGTCCTGATCTACAGTACTTGCCTAATTTATTTGGATGGTTGATTGGTTTGGATTTTTTCCTTTAGACCTTGTTTGTAGGTGCCACTTCTGTCTTGAAAATTCTTATCTTGTTAAATCTGAAGCTGGCCATATTTTGAATCAGGCTTGATGATTCCCTTTCTGACAAATTTCTTCTGCCTGAAAAAACCAGCTGGTGTTCCTTTTCTGTTTCAGCTCTGAGGGCATAGCCCTTTAGTGGGGGATGATTTTGTGTGTGAATCCAATGTTAGACAACATAAGGAAACCATCTGACTCTCAGCATTCTTTCTGGTTTAAACATCCCCTTGTATGTAACTGGGACACTGCATTTCTTGGTTTTTCTTATAAGGCTGCAAATTCTCAAACTTCCAATATTATATATGTAATGTCATCAGATTCTGTGGTGTGAACTACATCCATTTTATGAAAAATTGAATGAAATGCAATGGTAATGACAGTCAGCTTTCTTATTACATTTTTGACCAGATCGTCTAGTGCCACTCTGCCATGTAAAGTTACAAAAAGTTTGAGCTCTAAGACTGTATATTATTCTGCAAGTACTTATACTCCCTTCTCAGAATGCATTTTGTAGTTTGTTCAGCCAGTATAAGAGACAAATCAGGAGACCCACCAAGAGACACATTTATTTAAGCAAAATTATTGGTGGGAAATGAATTAGTTTAGAGTCAAGTGCTGCTTGCTGGACAGGCAAAGGTTAGTGCAGATCATCAGAGACATGTCCAGTGGTTAAAGAAAAAATTACTGGGAGACAGCTCTTTAGTGTTTCATGAAAAAGGTATGCCCAGTCGTAATTTGAAGCACTAATTTCCATAAAAGATTAGGAAATGATGGAGAATTTTTTCCCAGACGTGCAAATTATGATAACCTTTGTACAGTAAAATGTTTTCATGCCTATAAGGAACACTGTTTTTAAAAGAAGAAGCAGATGCTGCATGGAGGAATTAAGAAGCCTAATGGTGGGTTTCCCTGTGATTGTGAGCCACAGTAGGGATCCCTTCCCCCCGCCCTTCTCTTTCTCACAGAAATCTGATTTTGATCGTGGCTAGAAATATATTACCAAGCATTTAATCTTAACATGGCCCAATTAGAACACCCTTCTTGACCTTATGAGAGATACAGTAAATAGAGTTTGAATCCATGTTTATTACTGATTGCAGAGAGTTCTTCAGCACTTTCAAAACTTCCCCTCATAATTCTAAAATAAAGAAGTGCCCTAATGATCATATTGTATTATTATATATATGATATAGTGATAATATATGCATTTTTTTTCATACCATTCAAATTCCTCTGTTAATTTTCATTGAGGAGATAAGATTGTACAATCTAAAGGAAGGTTCCAAAAGCCTTACTGCCTGTATTTAAATCCATTGACCAGTAAGATCATTGTCTGACATTCAGGTATAATTTTAGCCTGACTAAATATGTATAGAAATACTCATTCTCCTTGCAAACCTAACAATCTTTTGCATGTTTAATCTTTCTCCTTGTAGCACACTATATGAGTGAAAAAATACCCTGGAAGAAATAAGAATACATATTGAACAGCATTAGTAGTTAGTGATCCTGCATAGCACCTTAACCTCTAAAACTGTTGAGGAAAGAATCAAGTATAGTATAGTATAGTATATGTACATGATAATTAGCTGTATGCATTTCTTTTCTTAAGAATATGTGACTTGGCATTCAAGTTTTCTTGGTATTGTTCTAATTACCACTTCTTCACAGTTGTCATCTTGGTTTCTGAGTGGCAGTAACTTGTTGTCTTAATATGTTATTTCATTATTTATTAAATAAAAAGCTCTTGGTAAAGTAACTGAAACAGGATCAAACAAGACAATGTTCTCTTCAGCCTAAAGAGACCCATTAATCAATGGCAGAAGAGAGTTGCAGTAATTATATAAATAAAATACTAATGTTTTGGATGGGCAAATTTTTCTGAGAAAGCAAAAAAGATCTGCCCAAAAACATAACATCTCAGACAAGTGAACAGATACAGATGTAAAAAGGAGAAAAGGGGAAAAATCCAAATATACTGAACAACAATTAAAAGCAGGAAAGGAATTCAAAATTTGATGTTATTTGGAAAATATGTCAATAAATGTCACAGAAAGAAATACAAAACTATTATTTTGAATCTTAACGTGGATCAGCTGAATAAGATGAAAATTAATGGATTAGAGAGTTTGAACAATTGAGTAATTGTCTTTAATTTTTTTCAGTTGCTATTGAATAGTGATGGCATAAAGTGCTCGTTTTCTTTAGCTCTTTCACAAGATCAATAATAACAGGATGAGGGGTTTGGATAATTTTTTATTGTATGCTTTTTCTTCAAAGATCTGTACATTAGTTGGGTTATTCTTGCAGTATCCCTCAGAGAATAGGTAAGTGTGCTTTCTTATGGATCAGGAAGTCAGTAAAGCCTGTGTCCTTCACATGTCTTTGGGTAAATAGTCCCTAAATAAATCAATGGCACCTGACTGAATCAAGGAAGTAGGATTTAGTTTTAAGTATCTTCAAATGAGTCACAGTGTAAGCCAGTGAATAAAATTGAAAGCTCTGACAAGCCTCTGTGTCACATTCTTTTGCCAAAGCATAACCTCATGAGAGAAGGAGAAAGGGGAAAGGGACAGGTGACTGATGGGTGATGCTGCTGATGGGTGGTGGTTCATGTTTCCTGTCCAGATGCAGACAGGTCACTGTCCTTTGCTCATGGTTTCACAAACTGAACAGTCAAATTGCAGAATGCTGATGGAATGTGAACATAGACTAGTACAAAAAATGTGTCCCCCAAACTCGTAAAATGTTTAAAAATGAGTTATTGGAAAGCTGTCTACATGTGGTGAATTCCCCACAGAAGTAGCTTCTGTGTTCTACAGTGACCAAATTGAGATTTTATTTTGTATTTGCTACATTTACTATTCTTTGTGTTGACTTAGGAAGATGAAACAATGGGTAGAATGTTGGCTCAAGAGTATTTTGAGGGATTTTTCAGCAGTTAGGTAGATAATGGGCCAGTTCACCATTTTGAAACATCTGTAATAATGCAGCTATTCAAAAAACTATTCTACAGACCTGTGCTGAGTTTCTTTTCTTTTAAGAAATGTAAAAGAGAAATTAACCTGTCTTTGGCCACAAAAGATCAAAACTAAGAATGAAAGAAAACTGCTTTTGGGAAAGTGTCAGAGTGAAAATGTCAGAACCCAGAAATAGCTTGTGACCAGAGCAATGTCAGAAAGCAGGCTTGAGAACATGCAGGTCCTTGGTGTGGTTTCAGCAGTTTTTGTTGAATTAAAGGAGAGAAAGGGGAAAAATAATGAAGCTCTGGCATTACTGAAGATTTCTGATTTACAGTCAGCCTCATGAACACCATAACCAGTGACCTGCCACATAGCTGGCTTTTCAGGAGAGCTGTTCTCTGCCCTGCTCTTTATGGCCAGAGCTGGGTGTGACCTCTCATTTGTGTGCTACATCTGCTTTATATTCTCTGTTTAGCACAAGTGAGCTCAGAACCTCTCGTATGCTCTTCCTGAGACATTGGCCTGCAGAATGGACTATCCCTTTTGTAACTGAATAGGAGACATGGTAATTAAGAATCATTGGATCCTCACACCTGATAGATGTTCTGTCAGAGCATGTAGGGGGCAGCTTCTTTCATGCTGCTGCCCTCATGTCAACTCAAGGCAGTTAAGGCATTAGTTAATGTCTTCTTGGAGAGAGGAAGGTGCTTCTGTATTCCCCTTTAAAATCCAGGTACTGAGAATAAGTAAGCTGTCTGACAACTGACAGGTTGCCACTTCTTGCATTTTAATGATTTGTCATCTTAATACTCTGATCCTTATCTGGTGTAATTCTGTGATTCCCACTTTCTTATCATGGTTTAAACCTAAACAGACTCCTATACAAGTGATTATAAATATTTTTTCTTAATAATTCCATTTTTCTGCCTTCTCAATCAAGTTTGGTTCTTTTTGGTGTAAAGCAGCATAACTTAAATACTATTTTGAAGGAGTGATTTTTCCAGTAACTATTCTGCCTGTGTCAAGGAATGTTAAAAATGCTACGTTGAAAGTATGTTTTAAATACAAGGTGGAAAACAATGTTAATTTAATACTTTCTACTGGCATCCAGTAAATGATATAAAAATTCTGAAAAAATATTCCTGATTAACTTTCTCAGGTTTGCACACACTGCATTATTCTCATCCTTGCAGTAATCAATCTTTTATTTCTCTCACTTTTAGCTACTTTATATGAAACTCTACTATTTTATTGTTGTTCTGGTCTAAGTGCCTGTAGCATTTTGGTTAAAAAAATACTGTAGGTCTAAAAGTTCAAAGATGCAGTAGTTAAATAATACATTTAGCACATGTTTCTAACCCAGCAGCTGAGTTGTACAACCAGTCTGCTCTAATGCCTATGCAGTGCAAGATATGTGGCACTCATGACTAGGCTGCTTCCTACCGACCTCTTTGATTGTCGTGTCTTTATTAGAGAACAATTACTTCTGTACTAATACTGAGAATGACTCAGCCTCAGTTATTAACCTGTTTTGCTCCTTCTGTCACAACAAGTTAAATCAAAAGCATTGCAAGGAATGTGCAGTGAAGTTGGAAATGTGAACCAAAGACAGTGAGTAGGGAACTCTGCTTTGAAGAAGTATCTAATTAGCAAGAAGCACCCTCTGTGCTGCAGAAAAACCTAAGAAAAATGTTTTCTATTTACCAATTTTATATTTATGAAGTGCAGTTGGAAATGACTGCAGTGAAGAGACACATGTCAGATATATAAATGTAGGTGGGGCCTTGAAATCTGCCTTTGTCAGAAGGACCTGGAAATGCAACTATATCCTAAAGAGGAATCTAAAGGCAATGCTAAAACCAGATTTGGTCAACACAACCAAACTCAGTGGCTTCTCCCATTGCTATTGTTTTCAAGAACTGGAATCAGGCTTGCTTGTTCACGTCTTCCAAAGCCTGCTTCTGTCATGGAACAGCAGGAGTCGTGGGTGGCAGCAGGACAGATGAGGACAGGGACCTTGCACACAGCACCCCATCCCAAGGCAGGCAATAGAAGTGACCAGGGTCAACCAGAGGCCCAAGGACAGCCACCAAAGGCCTTACTTAGGGAAGTCCAAGGAGAAGCCAGGACATTGTGTCAGGATCAGCAGGTTAGGAAGCCAAGAAGAACAGGCTTACCTACAGCTGAGCTCAGCCAAGGACCAAGGGCGAGGACCTGAGCTGACAGGAGCTCCTGGGCCTGCGGGCAGGGGGTACCTGAGTTGAACTTCAAATTTAGTTGGGTGCTACTGTTCCTGCAGCCTGAGGGCTTTTGGACTCTGTGGTGGCTCTTCAGTGGGAGTAAGAAAGTAGGGATGGTGCAATATGCCAGAGTGTTTTCCTCCCCGCAAACCAGGCAGCTCTGAGTGAGCTCCTTGTAATCTAATGTCTCAACCTCTTTCAAATGCAGTCTAATATGCTAGAAAAGAACCCTTTTCTCTACAGAATTCATGAGCTTGGGGAGGAGTTGAAAGATGTCTTGTTTTTGTCTGCTCTGTAATGCAAATGCCGTTCTAGTTATAATAGTCTCTGACCACACAATACTATAGTTAGATCTATACAAAACTTGCCACTCCAGTCCATTAATTTTCAGCTGTTGTTCATGTTTTTTATGCTTGCGGTCTGCCAGAATGAGTGTATAGTCCAGAAAGTGTGTTATGGTATATGAAACTCTATATAGTGTAGATGAAAAAAGTGATAAGGGATAATCCATTTATATCATAATTACATATCCAGGAAGAAGGTTAGAAATATATGTGCAATGCTCACATTAATGTAATATAATTTATTCTAAAGAGACATAAACCATTATTTTAAGATTGTAATCTCTTTATTCTTAAACTATGTAGTCACACATCTCCGCCTTTTTTAATGTTACAAGTGCTAGTTACCGCTGTTACATAAATAATGAATGGTATTTGTGTGTAGTTTTATGTTTCCTGGTAATCTGTTCTCTTTATATGCACCTATTTTCAGTGAATATCAGGTATCTTTACCCTTCCACTTTCCCAGAAGTGACTTCACCTGAAGTGTGTGACAGCCAGATGAGCAATGGGCTGCATTGCTGCTGTGCATCGCCATCCCTACAAGTGTAGCGTGTGAAAAGCTGCAGGGGCTGAGTGTGGAGTCTAGGGTCTGTTGTGTTGTTGCTGAAAAAAGCACTAACTCAAACAGCATTGTTGACAGTATAATGGTTTGATCAGTTCTGTCTCTTTTAGTAGTACACAGCCTTCCCTTTGTATATACTGGTATTTGTGCTTCTTTGGAAAATGAGATACAATTAGAAAAAGACCATGGTTGGCAAGGTGGTATTCAGATGAAAGCAGCACATTTGTAGCTCATTATGATTTCTACAGATAGAGAGCAGCCATAGTTTTGGTTTAGATATGGAGAAGGACTGTAGAAACAGTAAAGTTGACAGAATTATTTTGGAATGGTCATTACGAAAATCATTGGTTTAGGCAGTCCACAATTTCCTATCTCTCACCTAGACCTTAGGCAGTGTTATTGGTTTATTTTAATGAGACTTTTCTGTATTCATGTACACTTCTATGTCAGTTCCATGCATTTTAAGTTCTGATTGCATCCAGGTGGTTCTTTTCAGTATTGTGCAAAACAGCTGATACTTCTCTGTAGCCAGAGACAAGAAAGAATAAGAAATGTGAAGATGGAGTTTGATTCCAAGCTAACATCTGGCCTTGTTTGATTTTTATTTTCCCTCATCAGGACAGTTGCAAAGACTTATCCTCAGTCTCCTAAAAATACCAAACAATATCCAGCTTCTCCTGTGAAGCATCGTGCCACTTCCAATATCAGCCAGGAAACACCTAAAAAGAAAGCAGACAAGGAGAAAGAAAATGTCAGTCACCTGAAGACCCCAGGAGCACGCAGTGATGATGTGGGCCAGGTGGCTCCTGAGAAGCACGTGCCTTCTGCTGGAAAGGCTGAGAACACTGAAGGTGAGCCTTACTGCAAGATGTTAGTGCAGGGTATGATGGGTCCCTGAGACTTTAAAATGGTGGTGAGCTGTTCTTTTCATGAAGCTGCTCAGTCATGGGCTTATGAGAATGTGTAAAGATACATACTGGAACCTGTAAATACACAGTTTTCACTAATATACCAAAAGTCAAATGTAGCAATTGTTAATGAAGATGAGAAAATGCTGACATCCAGGGATGCCCTTATCTATTCTATCTTCTTTCTGCTGAAAATGCTAAAAAAGATGCTTTTAAAAAGGTGTCTTGCCACTCTGAACAAGGCCCATTTCAGCCTCTGTATGAACCTGGAATTGCCAGGCACTCTCTGTTCCCTGCCTGACTTTCCACCCTTGGTTGTCTTCTCCTAGGGAAGATCACAGCAGGAACAAGTGATGCAGAAGAAGCTGCAAAAATTCTAGCTGAAAAAAGACGACAGGCCCGCCTGCAAAAAGAACAAGAGGAAAAGGAGAAACAGGAAAGAGAAGAACGAGAAAGGTCTCTCTATTGCTTTGTGAAAGTTACAATCTAATAATTTAACCTGTATCACTGAAGATGCTTGAAAATGTGGTAGTTTTGGAATCAAGCTAGATCTTATATATATTTGTTAATTTCTTTAATTTCAGACTATTATTTCATTAGTGTCTTTTGCAGTCTCTGTGATTAGTGAAGTTAAAAAATAATAATTTGGCCTCTTCAAGAACCCTGAATAAACTATTACTTTTCCAAATACTTCAGTCATGTCCTTGCTGAAGTGTACTGCACACTGCAGTCTGGACACACCTGAAGTATTTTACATTGTAAAAAAAAATTTAGGTGGCTTTAAATGAGCTAGATTACGTAGCAGAAACAGTCTTGCAGCAGCAGCATATGCATAAAATGGCAAGGCTTGAGTCATTCATAATTAACCTGAAGTTCATCTTCCTGCCCAACTCTGCTGCAGGCATTGAGGGCTGAGTGTGGGCAGAGTGAAGGTTGCTGTCTGAGCAGTGAAGTTGTGGCTCTGTTCTGGGAACAGGCTTTTTGGTGGTTCTCCACATGGGATGCTGGTTGCAAGTGTCAGCAAATCATGCACTTCCTTCAACCCCCTCATAGTAAATCACTAATTCTGCATGTCTGGATTCAACTTTGGGTTTTCTTACTACAGACATGGTGGATGGGGTTGAAGTGTGGAATAGAACTCTCCAGCTAGTTAAAGTTAGAAAGGGATGTGTTTATTGACGGCACAAACACATGTCATGTCCCAGAGACGTGTGAAGAATCACAGGCTCTGGCTCTCTATTTATCTAAGAAGTCTTATATATTAATATAATTCCCAAAATGCCTAATACATATTCATTACCTAACCCCATCCACTCTGGTTTATATTAAACTGTCATAGTATAACTGAGTCCAAGGTTCCTTCAAGCTTATGCAGTCTTTCATTTCAAATGGGTTGGTGGGTTTTGAAATAGGTCGTGGTCTTCAGAGATCAAAATGACCTTTTACTTTTGCCTTCTTGGCAGGTTTTGGACCCCTTGGCTGTAGCTCAGGTTTCAGGGCCCAGGTGCAGGCTACAGTCCTCTTCTTTCTCACAATTAAATCTGCATCCCATCCTGTTCTTAAAACATAGTAAAGATAGGCAGGTGATGTATCACTCTAGCCTTAACTATTTTATCTGCTAATAATTAGCCATCCCTTATTATTTCTACTCTTCTTGCTATATTCTTAATTGTTTCTACCCCCCCCTCCCCCCCCAACTAAATCTAGTTACACTTTTAACTCTTTCAGTTTCTTTAAACCCTTGATTCAGGGTGGGAGTGGAATGTCCAGCTCCTGACATTTTGGCCCTGATAGAATGATGACTTAAAAAACAATTCTTAAGGAGTATGCTGTCCCTCAGTGGGCCAGGGAGCAGCACAGGTGGAATTTAGACCCACTCCTTCCAGAATTCCACTGTATTTTGTGGAATTTGCTGGTACTCATCCCATCTGTTTATCTTCAGATGAAGCAAAGGATAAAAGAACTTGCTTGTTTATAGATACCAGCATTCTAGGTGTCAAGTACATGGGAAGAGGGTTGTCTTTGTTCTTGAAACTTAATTTTATTATTGACACTCTAATTGAAATTAGAACAGGAATGTTTTCTTTGATCACACATGTTTTTTTCAATGGAAATTATAACTCCTATGAAATATTTTAGGCATTTAAAGTAAGTAAAAACTTGTAAAAGGAGTAAAAGCTTGATAGCAACATGAATTCTGAGCATGTGCTCAATGTCTTCACTGTATCCTGGGATCTTTAATGAAAATATGTGCTGATGTATGTGTTACCAGATACTTGTGTACATTCAATAAGATTCATGCTAAACAAGATGAAACCTTTTAAACCTTCTTTTACATTTTTTGCAGGCTTGAAAGAGAAGAGCAGAAAAGAAAGGCAGAAGAAGAAAGACTGCGTCTGGAAGAAGAAGCTCGTAAGAAGGAAGAGGAAAGAAAACGTGACGAAGAGGCAGCTAGAAAAAAGGCAGAAGAGGAAGCCAGAAGAAGAACTGAGGAAGAACAAATGCTAAAGGAAAAGCAAGAAAAAGAGCTCCAAGCCAAACTTGAGAAACAGGTATCATCTCAAACAGAAATGTGAAATTTTTATACATATAAAAAAAATACTTCTTAATACTTGGTAGTCTTCCTGAAATAGATAATGGCCCTAACATATTTTACACATTTTGATTAGAAGGAAGAAGCAGAAATCAAAGCCCGTGAGGCAGCTGAACAGCTTCGTCTTGAAAGGGAACAAATCATGCAGCAAATTGAGCAAGAAAGGCTGGAGCGGAAGAAGGTGAGTATTTGCATCCTAGGATAATTATTTTATTTCTTGTTTAAATACATAACCCAGGAAGCACCCAGTAGTATCTAACAACAATAATCTGGAGGGATTAGAGGTGAATGGTTATGGCAAACATAGTATTTTTTACTTGCCTGTTAGGGGAACGTGGACATCAAAATTTGTAACAAAGTGGAATTGCCTGAGGCAAATTACTTTCTCCTAGGCACTGAGTAAACACAGAGCCAGTCTCTACCTGAGAAGTTAAATGCCTGAGACAAACAAGGAATGGCATGCCAAGACAAATGTCAATTGCTGTCCAACCCAGGACATCACTAACTACTGACAAACATGAGTGACTTTGTTTAAAACTTAATAAACAAAAGCTCTGTGTCATTAATTGAGAAAGTTTGTGATTAGCAAGCAGCTTTTCCCCCACCTGACTCTCTCTGGTTGCATTATGCAGAGGAACAGGATTGTCTGGCCACTGCTGTACATGGAAATGGCTGCATAAATTAGCTTTGTTTACAGCTGTGTGGCAGGAAAGAGAGCAGCTGCAGAATCCCTGTCTGGTTACAAATACTCATCTATCCATATATGTTATTCCAATATGTTTTGAACTGTTCACCACTGAACTGGAGGCATGTTGCAGTTGTAGATTAGAATATCAAACCAAAGTGTTTTGCATCTCAAAGAATATTTCCTTTTTAATGAAGAAAGAAGGAAAACAAAATATTTTAGGAAAATGCCTTACACATTTCTAACAAGAATAACTTCAGATATTTCTTTTTACTCTTCTATTCCAAAAAGGCTAACTATTTTTAAAGGAACTGTTTGGAAATAGTTGGAAAAGCAACTAGATTAAAGTAACCACTGTTGGTTTTAAACAAATGTCTTGTTCCAGAGCTGAGCATAAGTCATAGCTGCAAACACCTGGTATTAAAATACTTGTTTCTAAAGCGCATCTGCTGAGAAAGTCATGTTCTGTAGGATCTGATAGGTTAAAGCCAGCTGCAAGATGTTTTCTATCTTTAATTTTCTTTATTTTTCTTATTTGTTCTCCCTTTTCCAAGACAGGCAGAGAGGATGTCATGACAGTAAAGAAAAGGTTCTTTCTCCTTTTTCCCCTGTCTCTTGTGTTACGTATTCTGTCTTCCATCTCATCCTGAAATTTATTTTGATTTATAGAGAATAGATGAAATAATGAAGAGAACAAGGAAGAGTGAAACCCCAGAAATAAAGGTATGAAAAAGTATGTGGTTGCAGACTTCTTTTGTTTTGTTTTATTGTATGTAGAAATTAAACTCTAGGTAGTACCACATTAGTAAGTGTACTTAGGTACACTCTGGACCCAAATTTTTGATGCATTTCAAACTGAGAATGACTGTTGCTGTGTCACAGCCACTGCTAAAGAGACACAGCTTTTATGCAGCCTTTGCAGGTAGAATAATTGCTCCCCTCACTACCTAGCCAGGGGCAACAGCCCATTCCTGCATGCTGGAGCTGTACTGTTTGCTGCTGTTGATGTGTCTTCCTGCTTTGTACCAGCCAGTGAATTAGTTACTGAGCTCTCTTTGTTACCCCCTGAATGTGGGGTTGAAAAGAAGGCAGTTGTTTCCAGCTAAGAAGTGACAGTCAGATTTTCATTTCTAATTTGCTAAAGAAAACTGTTTGTTCAGTTACTTTCAGAGAATGTTTTCTTTTTTAATTATATAAAAATGCTATGCCTAACTAAAAAGGGGAAGAAGTCTTGTCTTGCTGTTGGTGGTCATTGTCACCCTGTGTCCCTGGGCAATCTCACAAATTTTGAGTCCAATCAGTTCCATGAAGGTTTACAGTCCTCCCTCTAATACAGCTGAGTCATTACTTGATTTCAGAAGGAAGAGCCAAAACTGGAGATTCCATCAACTTTGAATGTGGAAAAGCAACCAAAGGCCCTTGTTCTCAACCAGCCAGGTAAAAATTGCCATATTTTTCTGACCTATTTTTACAGTTGAATCTCTTCAAATTTTTTTGATCTGAGGCAGAGCACTGTGTATTATCGTAAGTTCTTTGCTTTCATCTCAAAAACAACAGCTGCATTTGCATCAGTGACAAATGTTAGAAACTGGAGACAGCTTTGCTTTGCCACTTAAGCAAAAGCAGAATAAAGTTTCTCCTCCGTTTTAGTACCTGATGTAGCATTTTTTGTAAATAAAAAGTGCTAGTCTGCCAATGTTTGTTTTTGGTTTGATTGCTGCAATCTACCTTGAAATTTTGTAAGTAGAAAATTTTTACACACAACCAAGCTTTTTACAGTATGGCTCTAAATCTTAAATTTAATTTGACTTCATAAAAACAACCCTATATGTATTTAAAGGATTATTAATTAAAGTGTATCTGACGTTATCTATATTTTGTTTACTTTCCTAGGCTAAGGTTTTTAATAAATGACATAAAAGATAGACCATTCTCTTTGTTTCCTCAAATTTAAAAGATGTAGCATAAAGAAGTTTTGGAGTGGAATAGAGGAATGACAATACAGTATGATGAGTCAAGGATTAAACTGAGTCTACTGTATTGTCAGTCTTCATTTCTACTCAATCTATAACTTAAAACTATTTAAATAACAAATTTTCTACTGTCATAATTTCTAACTTTCTTTTATAGAGATCAATGGATTGGCAACCTGCCTGAAAAATAAAAGCTTAGAAAGTGCTGCTTCTGTAATCCCTTCCCAAGATGTAGTTGCTAATGGACTGAAGTCAGTTTCAGGACTTATTCAGCTGGAAGCTGTTGATGGGAAATTTAACAACATGGAAGATTCAACAGATGAGGTTCAGTCCATGGATGTGAGGTGAGGTACAGGCTGGATCTACCTACAGGGTTGTGGAATTCATATGCGACACAGGATTTTGGGTTTTGTTTGTTAATACTTCACTACTTCCCTTCTCGCATCCATCCAGTGACAGCTGGGTGTGCACTGGCTGTGTTCTGCTTCTGCCAGGATGCTCCTGGGTGTTTGATACAAGAGCCACAAAACCTCATCTCACTCTCACATATTTGGGGGAGGGAACTCTGAAATCCTTCCACAGTCCTTACTTATGGATTCCATACAAGTTTGCCCAAACCTTTCAGACGGATTTGTGAAAGCAGCTACTGTAGATACTCTTCTGATGTCACTATTTTTTAATTTGGCTGCATAGCTGTGATTCATGAGCAGTTCTGCCTCCATACAAAAAGAATAAAGAAAATAATGGATTTAGAATTTTAAGTACTTAACAAGTAGAAATGTATGGAAATCAGTAAATAATTTTGTGGTGTTAAATACACTCACATTTTGATGGAAGGATGTGCAGAAAAGAAGGATTTTTAATTTTAAGTTTTTTTTAATTTGAATATATATATATATAGAGAGAGAGAGTTAATTTAAGACTGTTAAGTCAAAGCTAGATCTGAATTTTAAACATGGAATTTTAATGCTGTTCTTCCTTAATCAGTAAGTCAGTTGAACCTCTTATACTGTCTCAGTATTTCCAGCAAATATGCATAAATATATAGGAAATGGCATGCTGGGACCAACCAGAAGATTGTGTAGCCCATTATTTGGTCTCAGAGAGTATCAGTAAGAAAAACGAGTTGGGGAGAGCACATGAGCCTACCACTTCCTGCAATCCAAGATCACTGAAGTGTGGCCTTAGGGATATTGAGGGCAGATGTTTGCCTTGGCCTTTTAAGTGGCCACTGGTTGACATGTTGCCCATGAGTTTATCCAACCTTTTTTTTACCAGCTCTTTGTGTCTAGACCTCACCTGGAAGCAGTCTGTACAGTACAGTCTCACTGGTAGATTATGTTCTTTGATCCCTGTTAAGCCTAGTTTCTTATTGGTGGCATTGGACACTCCTTACATTTTGTGTTGTAGGATTTCACACATGATAGTTTTGCCCTTAACGCATCCACCACCACATCATAGTTTAAGAAATGTCTGTGAAAGCTTTCTTCTGCCTTCTCCAAACTAAAATGCACTAGCCTTGCTGGTCTCAGTAAAGCAGCTGGTTGCAGCATTTCTTAATTACGGGATTTTTATGTCTGAAGTATATAATAAGGTTTTAAGAAATAACTTATTTAAGTTCTGAAATGTATGTGCTTTAAGTAAGTGTTTGCAGGATCAGGACAGTAATGTGGAAGATGCAATAAACATTTAGGTAAAGGAATGATGCAGGGACTGAAATAATGATCAGAAAACTGTCAGACATGTGGGTGAGATGAGTGCTCATGTTACACAGCTACCACAAACCATAATCATTAAGGGCTGGGTTAGGTTTGGTCTTCCATCCTGAGCAGGGCAGTATCTTTTTTTCTTTGGATTAGGACATTCTCTAGGTAAAAGCTTGCTGTAGCTGCCTTAAGATGAGTGGTAGTTTCTGAACAGTTAGAGGGCTAACTTGATTGTTGATTAATGAAAAGTTATAGACCTCTTATTCTGTGTCTTTCTTCCTTTATCTTTTGTATAGCCCAGTTTCAAAAGAAGAACTTATCTCTATCCCTGAATATTCACCTATGAATGAACTCATGCCAGGTGTTTCTTTGGACCAAAATGGGACAAGTAATGCCAAGGCTCTTGAAGACCTCTTGGATTTCACAGGCCAAGCTACCTACTCCAAGATGTCCAGCGATACCCTTAGCCTAGATGACTGTAACAAAAACTTGATTGAGGGATTTAACAGCCCAGGACAAGAAAATACACTTAATTCTATCTGTTGACAGCCTTGCTTTTCAGCAGAACAGATACAGGTACAGTACTGTGATAAACATCTTATGATAAATTGGTGTGATTACTTACTAGCTTCCCAGAATATTGCAGCAGTCCATGGCAGTGTGGGGAGAAAAAGAAAGCTGTTCTCCTAGGTATTTTAATTCAACATAATCTTTGAGATGTGCAGCTGCCTGTAAATTGGCATCATATGCAGACTGATTGTATCATAGCAACCACAAGCATCTGGTAAATGGAAACATTTCCTTTAGGCACCCAGAATTTCTTCATTAATACAATACCTTTCCTGTATATCTTTGGAGCCTATTTTCATGAGGAAAAGAGTTAAAAGTGGGGCTAGTCTAGGCCATGGTAGTTACTGCTGCTGCTTATTCTTTGCTGCTGTAAAACTTGCAGTGTAGAGTCACATAAGCCAGCATAGTAAACACCCATAGTAGGTTTCAATGACAGTTTCAAAGTACAAAGTCAGGTTTTTTGGAAGAGTATATTCTCTAACTTGCAAAACTGAGGTCATCTAACTTGCATAACTGACTTGATATTCTTCTCTCTCTTTTTAATTGACAGAGGTAACAGTTTCTGGAGGATATATATCCCTGTGATGCTACTGGCAGTAAAACATGAGCTTGTCACTTGAAAAAGCTTCTGCAGTCCTTGAACACTGGATTTCAAATAATCAGAGCTGAATATAACTTGTCTTCCCAGGGAATATGTTGAATAACTGGCTGCTTTTGGTAGAAACCAATGATGTTTCAGGGAAGACAGAGCGTGCATTAGAATTTGAGCTTTAGCTGCTAATAAAGCACTTATTTCTTCTTTAATTTAAAATTCATCTCAACACTTCACTGTGATTTTTACCTGTGCATTTTATTTTTAAATAATTATTTCCTAAGCTTGATCATACATCCATTTAGACATTTTTTTCTTGTAAATAATGATGGGGTTTGCCCACAGTGCATTGAAACAAAATAATATACTGTAGTTTGGTGCCTATCTTTTTTTTTTTTTTGTCTTTAATAAGGAGTTATTTGCAACTTTGATGAGGTGTGTAATTGAAAACTGTAGCTGAAGAGGCTTGAAAAACATATAGCTGCTGGAATCAAAAGAGCCTTTTTACTGACTGTGGAATATGGGAACTATTCCTTTATGATTATGTTGACACTTTTAGTCACTAGTAGCACTAACCAGTTAATATTAATTAGTCTGGGAGCAACTATCAACTGTGTTTGAAATCATACTTGTGTAACACTTGTAATCAAAGTAGGCCAAATGCCAAGTATAACCCCTTAATATATGTGTCGTATAGCTGTAGTAGATTCGAGTGAGTGATCAGGATAACCTTTGAATATGCAGACACTTGATTAATACCAGCAGGCTTTCTATCACACAGAGAAGTATTTTGTCTTCATGTAGGCTCAACAAAATGGGATTTGGTCAGCAGCAAAACAATACGGGAGTACCAGAAACAAAGGCCAAAATGCACGCCAGGAGCACTGGGCGCCCTTGATGTTCTGTAAACATCTGTATGGAACAGTCCACACCGAGATGTACAAGGTCAGGACGTCATGTGCTGTACAGTGTTAACTTTATTTCTGTTGGTGAACCTTTATGCTAGATCAGGTGCTGCTTTGAGGACGTTTTGTCCAGTCTCTTGTAAGAATAAATTATAAATACAACTCTCTTTGGACACTAACACAAAAGATGTGAAAACTTGGGGGGAGGGGGTGTTTGGCTTTTTTTTCCTTTTTTTTTTTCCACGTGTAAGAGTTCACAGCATAAATTGACCTCAGTTGTAGCACCATTCTTGTGCTATTAAAAGTCAGCTGTGGGAAAGTAACCAGTAACATGATGTGCAATGCCTAAAAAAATCATGCCTACAACAACCCAGCTCTATTTATGTTAGTGTACTTCAAATAAATACTTTCTTTTGACTGTGCAGTGAGCTGTAGCATGGTACTGTGTCTTCCAAATTAGTCCTTCATCTATTTCCTAAATAATAAACAAACAGAAACAGTTTGTTTTGCTGTAATACACTGTGTTTGGCAAATGTCATACTATATTTTATTATGGTGTCATTGTATAACCTGTAGATTTCTGTATTTGCATGACCTGTATAGCATGTATAAAGGTGAAATACATTTTCATTTATGAATCTGACTTGTTTCTTAGTGCTTTTTATTCCCACAAAAATGACTGATTTAAAAATACACATATGTTTATTTGTTCTGAGGTACTTTCTGAAGGAGGGTATAATGCTGAATGAAGGAGTGGTTGTCAAAACCTCAGAATATTTCACCATTGTTCCCATTGCCACATATTAATTTGCTTTCTGAGGTCCTGCCAAGTGCAGGCTGGTGGCTGAAGAGCTTTAAGGTGAGGACTCCAAATGGTGGCATCCAGAGGACTGATGACATATAGGGCCAGTTTGCAGCCCCAGCCTCTGCTCTCTGGCAAAGAAAATAAGCAAGAGAAAACTTGAGAGCTGTAAGTAAACACTGTTCTGTTTAGTATGTAAGAGCTGTTCTATAGGGTACCCATGACATAAATGCTGAACTTCTCTTCAAGCTATGTGCATGCACTGCTGCTTGGAAAGCAACCAGCCTGGAGCTGCTGATAGTTCCCTAGTGAAATGCTGAGGAGATTTTTTAATGTATTTTTTTAAACCATCACTTCAGTCAAAATTGCAAATGAGACAATCTAATTCTATGAATAAGTATATTAATACTTTCCATGGTGTCAGTTCATTTCATTTGTATTGACTCCTGAAGCATTCATGTTATTTTTCCAGTTGATTATTTACTAAGATGGAAGGAAACAAGATGAGTATTTGTGAAGAAATTGCGTATTTACATTTATATTCGCTTTCAAACATAACTTAAAATATGGCTGAATATCTGGAGGAGGTGCTCTCAGCTTAGAGGTTAAATTGCTTCCTTTTGCTTTTGCTGGTGAACTTCTTCATAGCAGCACCATGCCAATGTTTGCTGCTGTAAATCGAGACTGCAATGAGCTTTACTTTGAATTTGTCAGTGGTCTTGCGACTGCAGTGGAGGATCACTAGTGATACACACAAGTCCTTGATAGAGCTTTTTTGCCATTATTTTATATAACTATTAGTAAGTTTTTAATAGATAAATAACTCCTGTGATGTAACTGGACATCAGAGTAGCTTTCTGATTAGGTTCAGCACTTTACATGGTATTGCCCAGGGAAATGGCACCCAGACCTTGCCGTGGACCACAGTGAAGGCTCTGAACAGACCTCTTGTCTCTCCAGGGAGATAATTTCAAAATAAAATTGCATCAGTGAGGGGTGGATCTGGACCACCAGGATGTATTTTCATCTGGTGATGAACAGCTAGAAGCAGGGGGTATCATCCTCTCTCCTTTGATTGTACAAATTGTGCAGAAAGCTGCAGAAATAGCACAGATTGCTACTCTGGCTGTCAGGGTGGGGATCTTCCCTCTGGCATAAAGAGAGCAGCACCTTTCCCTGCTTCACCCCACGTCAGTCCCAGCTTGACAGCATCTTCAGCTCAGGTGGCCCTGCCACCACCCCACTCCTGTTCCAGGCACTGTCAGTGTGGCACTGCAGCTCTTCTACTGCCCAAGGTGATACAGTGGCTTTCAGCATTGATCACACTGTTTGGAGAAGCCTGAGATCCCAGGATAACTGGGCTTCAGTGCTGCACAGCAGCCTGGAAACCCTAGAAGGGAGACATCCTTCCCATTAGGATTTAAACAGTATTAAAATGTAGGTAGTTCAATATTCAGGAGCTGAAATCTAGACTCCGAAGTTTGTATCTTGTTTTCTCTGAGCCTGGCCGTGTCCTGCACAAGAGGGAGACTATCCTGTAAGCAGCACAAATGAATCAGTGGTAATATGCTGCTCCTTTTCCTGATTTAGTGACCTGTGGGACTCTGTCTTACTTCACTCTTCTCCCTCCCTATTCAGGAGCAAGGTGGAAACTGAAAAAAGTCTCTTCATTTGCTTTCATTTCAGGATAATGTTGTTCAGTGTGTTGGTTGCCTCCAAAACCAGCATGAAGTGTGGTTTTTCACCTATGCTGCTACTGTTACGGGTACATAAAAAGACCTAAAAGGCCAATGTCAGTTATCTGGCATTGGGGATGTTGATTTTCAGTATCAATATTAAATTCTGCAAAGTGTATTATTACTGCTGAGTGACTATACTAAAATCTGGAATATTTTATGTTATGACTGAATGCAATTTTCTCTGGATTTTTATTTTTAATCTTCAAGAAAGCAGGATTTAAACTCAATCTCTCCAGAATACATACACTTAAAAATAACAGAAAACTTTAAATATTCAGGTGCATTTTTGTTATTGCTGTTAGTGCAATAATGCCAGTCCAGAACACAGTGAGCCAGAATGTTCACTTCTCCCCCACTTTTTTAGCCTATCAATAATTTACCATATCCTTATGATGTCCTACTGCTGAAGAGTAGGTGATGCTGTTCACTCCAATTTAATGTGTCGAAGCATGTGAAGTGGAAAAGCCCTTAAAACTGCAGGCAGAATAAGAGAAATAATATTTAAGCTTTTAAAATTATTACCTAAAGTATAAGAAAATGGTTTCTTGATCACCAGAATTTTAGATATTTGTTTTCTTCCCAGTAGCCTTGTTTGCTCTGCAGCTTGTATATGTTTTATAGCATTTTGATTATTCAAGACTGAGCTTAGTAATGTTTTTAATCTAGAAGCTTTGATGATTATCTGAGGCCTGCAATTTTCAGGATCAAAATAGAGGCTCTGGGATATAGCGTGTCATGTTCACTTGGGAGCTTTATGAAAATAGATGTGTGTCCTTGCTATAATAAAGCCTTAATGATTTCCAGAGAAAAACCGACTATGATGCAGGAGAGATCCAAGGATTAGAAGGAGCAGTAAGCAATGAACTGCGTGCTCTAGGAAGTGATATGCAGCAGCCTTGCATATCACTTTAGATCTTGCTGTGCCTACAAGAATAACT